GAGTTGGTGCCGTCTGGGGGACGACTGGGGGCTCTGGTGGCGAAGAGGGTTCCTCTGGCTGAGTCGCCGGGGTTGCGGGGGTCACTGCTGCAGCAGCTTCCTCTTCACCGCCTTCTTCACCGCTGCCCTCACCGTGGTGTTCGCCCGCAGGGCCCGGCCCATTTCCAGGAGCTTCACCTAGGTTCTCTAGCTCAGCTTCGTCTATATCGAATTCCTCTCCCTCATCATCAAGATCGTCTAGGTCAGGTCCGAATGGAGATTTCGCCGGTTGTTGCTGGGCCGGTTCCGGTTCTACAACTGTTTGTTCTGCAGTTTTTGCCGCCTCCCCCTGCTCTTCTGGCTGTGGCTGTGTCTCTGCCTGTTCCACTGGCTGTTCTTCGCTATGTGCGGGCTGTTCGGGTTCTCCGGTTTCAGGCTTCTCATCAAGGAATACAGGCACAGTCTCCGTATCCGGCGTTGTAGCGCTCGGCCTACGCGTTCGTACGGCTGGTACTGGCCTCTGCGGGCTCCCTTCCTCTTCCTTCTCCGTCGGCGTATCGGGTGGACTGCTTGTAGCGGTGCGTCTCGTCCGGGGGACAGCTGCATTGCACACAAGACAACTTCACAGCGAAAACGGACACTTTCAAGGCCAGATCAACAGGGACAAACAGCAGGTGAACACGCTCAAAGGGGCTTTCACGCCACCTCTGAAGTGCTGCTGAGTGATATAGAAACCCTTTAGCACAAAATGTCAGAGGCAGCATCCCCGTAGACGCCGTCTTTAGCTGTTAGGCGGGCTCACGTTTGACTGGTTGGGTTGGTTCAGGCTCCTGCATGCAGCGTACACAAGAAGTTAGCAAAATTTCTCGAATTGACCCGCACGTTTTGCGCATGCACACCTCCGGCCAGGTTGAATTTACGAACGAAACCGCCGTCATAACACCATGCAACACAGCAAAGCCCTCTAGTACCCCGAACACTTTATGTTTAATACGGCAAAGGAAGCCATCTCAAATGGGAATCGTGAGCACTGGCTATAAACAAACTGCTGCAGGAGCTGAATTCGCTCTGGGACCCATGACGAACGCAAATCTATTTCAGCAGTACTACATAGTCGCGTGCGCACAGCTGTGATTAGCGCCGAGACAGCAGGAGGACAAGCCCGCACACCCTACAAGAGCTAACACCAAAACCACCTATTATAGCGGCACAGGCATCGATATCCTATTCGACTAGCAGCAAATTCGTCACATAAATATACAAAAATATTCGCTCTTCACATTCGCTGCAAGAGCACTCGTGCCGCATTACAAATCGAACTGAGAGTCGCCTCAGCAGCCGGTACTTACTTCTTCGCTTGGCCTACGGAGGCCCGGAAGCGGGATACCAATCCCTGGATGCGGTATTGGCCTCCTGGGTGGCCTGGTTGGTGTTTCAGGAGCCTCAGCAATCGTCTCTGTCACCGGTTGTTCAGGAGCCTCAGGTTCCTTCGGTGGGACCGGTTCTCCCCGAGCTGGCGGTTTAGGCGGTTCCTCAGGAATTTCTGGATCCTTGGGCGCAGTTGGTGTTACAGGAACCTCTCGAACGGCGGGAGTCGGTTTTTCAGGAACCTCCGGAACTCTGCGTGGAGGCGGTTTTACGGGAGCCTCTGGAACGGTGGATGGGGTCGGTTCTTCAGGAGCCTCTGGAGCTTTGCGTGGAGCCGGTTTTTCAGGAACCTCCGGAACTTTGCGTGGAGCCGGTTTTACGGGAACCTCTGGAACTGTTGGTGGAGTCGGTTCTTCAGGAGCCTCTGGAACTGTGGGTGGAGCCGGTTCTTTAGGAGCATCTGGGGAGCCCTTTTGCGCCTGTTTTCTGCGACTCTGGAACGATTTCAGCTCATCTAAAGAGGGCAGTACTCTAGGTAATCCGGACGGCAGTCTGGTTGGTGGTGCCGGTTCTTCAGGTTCTTCAGGTTCTTCAGGTTCTGCGTCAACAGGAGGTGGGGGTGGCCTGGTTTTTGGTGGCTTCAATCCTTCCTCAGGTTTCTTTGGGGGAGCCAGGAAGCCCTCTGCATTCAAGCACACGCACAACAATGGTAGAAAGGCAGTCAGTTGCCTTCAACTCAGCTGGTTTCCGGGAAAGTGCTGTTCGCCCATGGGGTAGTAGCCTCGAGTAAACGTGTCACCTGCTTACCGGGAAGAGGCGGAGGCGGAGGCGGCACTACCTTCGGAGGACGACTGCCGAGTTTAGGCTTTAGAGCCAGGAGCGCCCCGGCAGCGAGGATGAGCATAACAAGACCCACCAGCTTCCCCGTAGACTTGTTTGGGGCAGCGGTTTCACCCGGCTTCACTGGGGCCGGTAACGGAGCCTCCGATTCAGCAGGTGGTGGCGTCGCATTCTCTGCCACCTCTTGCGACGCTACACCAGGTAACGGCGTCCCCCCAGACGGCTCCATGCGGCCCCTGGTAAACTGGCGCAAGCAGCTTGTGGCTCCACGGTGAACTGTGGGTGGAGGCGAGAAATTTGGAGATAAAGAGTGAGAACACCCCTTTTATATCTTTTTCTTACGGGTATTTTACAAGAAATACAGAAAAGTAGTACATGGATGCCCCGGGTAGGATCGGATGCAAGCCCAACTGCAAACTTCCGAGTTGCAGTGCTCTGCTTTCCTCTTCACAGAGCTCGAGCTGAAACCGGGGAACAACCTTCTTTAAAAAGCTGTCCAAAGGTCCAATTATAAAGGAGAGAAAGTGGTAGCCGTTTGGAGCTGAGTGGAAGACCGAAGGTATGTTAGGCTACCCGCACCCGTGGAAGCGGTGGAGACATGCTGGCAGCGAAAGTGGCATCCAACTAGCCCTGCAGGCTGTATGTGAATTTGCGCTCTTTCCTCTAAACAAATGGACAGAAGTGCTGCAAATGTAAAATTGCTGAGTCTCGCATCCTTGAAATACAAAATTGTTCAAGATCTACCTCTCGAACCCTTCCCCCTGTACTCTCGGGAGCGGTATGCATATGCGTTCTGCCGACAGGTGGGGTTGCGAAAAACCGAAAAACTTTCCCGCCATATGGTCACTAAATGTTACTGAAGTTTCATTTTTCGCTGCATTTAAAACAAATCTCCAAGATTTGCGGGATACCACCTCCAGTCGTTTGTTGTCGCTGGGTCGCTTGGACGAGTCTCCTCAACCGTTGCCGTACAACCTTATAAGCTCCAGAAACATAAAAATCCTCAGGACAATGGTTCCACAAAAGCAACTGACCTTCTCTCCAGCATTTATGCCTACTGGGCACATCGGAACGATGGCGTGGGCCTAGTAAGAGCCGTGGACAGCCTGACCTGGGTTGCAGTACTATGCAGCATTGTAGCATGGTTCGCGTGAAGTTAGCGCAGGAACATTTTCTTGCAGCTCACGAGGGTCCTCGAATCATATCGAGGACTCTCGTTACACCCTCCTTGGTGCAACTTTTTCTGCGATACTACCCCGCATGCAACCATACGCAGGCTCCCTTTTGAAGCACGCTATAGACAATAGTTAAACACTTCCTTAGCCCGTAGTATCCAGCCTAAACACAAGCAAAAATGCATGTACCAACATCAGCTCCATGTTGTATCCGCCAAACCCTTTCCCGCCAAGGAACGCAAGCGCTGGTGTTTCTGATCTTCCAAGAAATGGTGGGTGCACCGAGGGGAGGAAAGGAAGGCGCGGGGGCTTATCCGCCAACCCGTGCAAGTAGCAAGCTTTTGTTTCTTTCGAGTCGAAGGCTTGCTGAGAGAGCATACTCCGACTCCGAACAGGAGCGTCACATGCATCGGTTGTTACACCGTGTAGCCTACTTTAGTTTGCGAGTTATGGTTTGCAACGCTTGTGCCTGCTGTCAGGTTGTATCGGGGTCTCAAAAAGTACGTCAGCAAAGGCAAATGATAAGTATGTTCCCGAATCCCATACTTAATCAGATATTTTGTCTTTTTCAGGCTCGGAAGCTTTTTCTTCAGCGCGATTCTATTGAGGAGCTTGTAGTCGACGCATATGCGCTGTGAGAACCTCCCCTGTAGCAGGCCAACTGAGGGGTGTTTGGGGACCTAGATCTAAGGCCCGTCGGTAGTTGGACTCCACCCTCATCAGTGGGTGCACAAATCAGTTTCTTTAGCTCTGGGACTTGTCTCCCCAATGAGAGTACACACGTAGGCGAAATCCACTATGAGTTCAGGTTGGGAGCCTTCATCCCTCACGCGATGGAGTGGTAAATATCTAAGAGAACGAAGGAACTGCGAACCAAAGAAGCTGATGATTTGAGAGCCATCCGTCCATCTCTTGTTAGGCATTGTTTTAGTACGTGCTTATCAAGAATTATTATTGTTCAATCTGTGTCTCATTAAACACCGACTGAATAATAGGCTGAACCTCCGAAAGTCCCATGGGGGGCACACCCCTAAATCCGCACTGCAAATAATAGCGGACCGGTCAACATAACCTGACCCCAAACCTCAACTAGCCTTACTAACCCACGGAAACTCAAACATATCATATATTTCGACCAACAAACGAAGCCAAACAAAGCTTAAAGAAGGTTTCTTCTTGTTATCTGCTCCAGGCTTGTTCTCACTTATCACCACTAGCCGCGACATAGCGGCCCAAGAGGCTGGGGAGGAGGCGGCCTGGTTTATCTTAAGACATCTTGTTGCTCTAAATCTCATGGCAGCATCTGATGTAGTCAAAAGCGATCCACATTTTTTCACTAACCAGTAACAAGGGCATTCGTACAGTACTTAATAAATAGAACCCTGGAGGATTGTTTAAATATGGAGGTGGATGACGTCCACCTCCATATTTAAACAATCCCAACTCCAGCGCAATGAGTACTGCAAGCTGCCAGATGGAAATCTTGCCGTGATTGTAGTGGATATTCACTACAGGCGCTCCGTCCTTTCTCTTCCTCATCACCGGATTGTGGCCAAATTTTGCTCTTTCAGCAGTTTCTTAGCTTTTCCTTCGATTTCATATTGAAGATGGGCTCTCCTGTAGGTCGGAACAAGGTCTGCAAATGGCCCGTTATCAAGTTTATTGGGGCGCATTCGGTGCCCAGCGGGCGGTTGGCCCGGTGGAAGCTCCTTGCAATTTAATGCATCTGACACCTATTCCTTCAACTGTGCCGCCTTCGTTGTGACAGCTCCACGAAGATAGGTGCTCTGAGGAATTCGATTCTGTTAACGCCCGAGGAAGAGTAGAAATGCATGCAGTTCCCCTTCGTTTCTGGAAATGCCGCTGTGCTTCGTTGGAGTCTCACTACTCCATTTTTCTTCGAGCACCCACTCATTCCACTTTCCCCGCTCCTAACGCATTTGCATTTTCACCGTAAAGCATATGAATGATGTTGAGAGTGCGGGAGCGTGCACTGTCTGATTGCTACCCTCAACATATTCCACGATTCCCCTCCGCTGAGCCCCTGATTGCATGCCTACGATTACGTCTAATGACACAGAGCAACGTAGAAGTTCCTTTTCACTGCGTTGAGACCCGCTTTTGGATTTGGCCCTCACTTTACGCATTGGCCTTCGTGTTTTGGCTGCCATCGCAGACATTTTATTAGTAATTAGATAAGTAGACCGCAGCGCCCTAGCTTTATATCTCCGACTCACTTAGCAGCTTTTGTCGTGTAGATCTGGCAGCTCCTGATCATCAGGAGAAAGTTGAAGTGTAGCAGATTTGAATTGAGATGGATGTGCGAGTGAGAATGCCACCTCCGCTTGTCTCAAGACTCTAGTGAACGGCGGGCTCGGATGTTACTACGTGTGTACCCTCTGACAAACCTACTGGGTTCAAACTCTAGAGCTATGCACCAAACACAGCCTGCCTATACTACAAGGACGCAAATATTTAAATAATCGCCTTTAAAAGATATTTGAGTCCAATAACCTCAAAAGGGAAATCGAAGAATAATGGGTCTGTCTCTCTAAATATGCAGTGAGTCAGAATCTCAACAGCAGCATCAATCTTGCAGCCAGCCATAAGCTGGTGTGGTTGCTGAGAATTCTTGGTTTGCTTATCCTAACTTTCTGTCTAAAGTGATATGACTTGTCTCTATAAGTATTGTATTCGTTCTCTTACAGCTAACTAGGTCTGTGAAGGTTCCACTTTGAGCTCCATTGTAGTTCCTGTGCACTACATCCACGGCGCTGCACGTTGCGTGGGAGCCTCGGTGTTTCCCTGATCGCTCTGTTTGCTTCCCTGGCGATGCTTGTCAATATCTTGCATCTCCACTTCCTCACTTTTTGTCAGTCACATTCCCTATGATTTATGTCACCTAGTGTATTATAAACGCAGCAAGACCACCTCTCGGAACATGCCCCCCCTACTTTCTGAACGTTAGATCCGTTTGCTGCTTTCTGTTCTTGGCTCTTACATCTATCTAAGGGGGGCTGGCATTCACAGCTCCAACATCTGCAGGCTTTGTATGTGGGTCAACGCCTAGCCTAGCTAGCTGCTGGCTGCCTCTCTCCAGGAAAGAACACTGCTATGGACAAGTGAGTCTAAGGCCTAGCTAGCTACTGGCTGCCGCTTTCCAGGAAAGAACACTGCTATGGCCCAATGAATTACATAAGATCCGAGTCCACCATTTGTATTCTGCTCATCAGTGACTGACGCTTCTCGATGTAGCGTTCTATCGATAGATTTTCATTGTGAGGAGTTGATAATTGTGCCGTTGCCAGTTCCACTGCAGTCTTGGGAATAAAGCTGAATTGAAGCGCACTTGGGAGAACCTCGGTAGTCCGTAGGTGTTCCGGAAAACAGGCGATCGTGCTTTGAAATATCCTCAACTGTCGCGCGTCTCCTCATAACAAATAGGATCTCAATAGCAACTGTCCGTCTTTGGGTGCGCCTTAAAAACGAAAGTACACCTTCAGAAAGGCCACGAGTCCCTCTACTGCCTCCACTTCGCTGTCATTTGGACTTCCGACTGGTATGAAGATTAGGCCCCCCCGCCATGAGATGCAGCGCTCCTCGATGTAACTTGCGCTGCACGGCAGACCCATACGGAAGCATACTCACACCACTCTTGCTGCATGCAGTAAAACAGTATGCGTGTTAAACACATATTTTCCCTCTACTAGCTAGGTGAACAGAAGTAGAACAACACAGAATAGCTTCAGACAGAGAATGTTTGCACGAACACCGTCGACAGTTGTTAGACACCTAGTTGGTCTCCATGAGCATACACAACCGCAGGGATGGGTGCATACGTCTTCTGGCAGACATTCCAACTTATCAACAAACACGAGCAAGTACTCTCGCATCTAACGTGGCCGGCGACAGGCTGCGATTGGCGGCAGATGTTGTTGGCTGCCCGGTCCACTTTGCGTGATACGTATTGCAGAACTACAGATAAGCAGAAATTAGTCTAGTTGGAGGGGGTAATCCACTCAAAGGAAATAATGCACATCCCGTATGTGGTCGGGGCTCTGTGTAGTGAACAGTTCGAGCTCCTGCACGGTGTACCTACTCGCGCACTGAATTTAACCGGTACCAACTCCACATAGTTCCGGCAGCAGCGAAGACAGGATCAAACTAGGGGCACTTAGGGTGTCAAAATACTTTAGTGTAGGGACTAAGAAGCTCTTAACATAAATAACACTGGATTCCACAGCCGAGCGCGTTGCCACTATGTGCTCAAGGCCCCCTCTAACCGTAGAGACTGCCACCGGAGCCTTTTAATTATTTGGCAACGTTTCTACCTTCACCTATTTTTCTACTGCTACTTTGAGCATTCTCAGTGAATTCCAAGCCTCGTGTAGTGTTCGGCAACACACCATGGGGCCGGCGGTCTCATTCGCTGCCGACAAAAGAGCGAAGCAACAGTAACTGGTGTCGTAGCTGGGGCACCAGCAACGGGAACTGTCTTCTACTTAATTTTTCCAGGTATGAAGGCCGTCGGACTAATAAAGCAAGCTGAACGGCAGGAAGGGACGGGCAAATATCAGACTGAGGAGAAGCCCACAGGAGAACGAGGCAGATAGACAGCTAGCTTATCGAGGAAGGAAACATTCACAGATAAAGCTGGCAAGTCAATGGAGCAGACACGAGAACAAGAAAAAGGGGAACAAAGGCGAAAGGAGCAGCAACAGCAGCAATTGCAGCAGCACATTCGGGGTCCTGATGAGTCAACACGAGGTCGCCCTGTCCCAGCACCATTGCCTGGCCGTTTTCTCCCTGCAGCATCTGCAACTCCTAGTGCTCCGCCCTCTTCCGACTTCGCCTTGGACGCCGCGGCACATAGTCTGTGCAATGGGACGCTGGTTTTCTGGGCTGCTTCTGGAGCTGCCCCAGCTGCCACAGCTGTATCAAAGCCCCCCTCCTGCTTGCAACAAGCTCTAGGCGAGCCGTATGAGGCAGGAGAGACTCGTCAGAATGTGGAGGCCACTTTTCAATCTCCTGTGGGAACAGGCTCCTTCTTGAGTTTTCACACGGTTGGACAGCAGCGCTTGTTGCAACGACAGCAACGACATGCAGGCGCAAGCAGTTCAACACTTATGCGTCATGTGCTGCTAGCTGAAGAGGAGAGGGCAGCATTCTTCTCGCCAGAGCGGCTGCCGCTGGTGCTTTGCCTCTGTTCTCGCGGTATTTCACCAGTGCAACAGCAGCAGCGACCAGCTCATAACGCGCAGAGGGGCAAACTCCTCTCGACTGGAGACCCCCACTCCAGCAGCGTCTCGGCATTCAGGGCAGCCATTGAAGCGGGGAATGTGACAAAAACAACAAGAGTAGCAGCTGCCACAGGAACTAAAGTACCTGACGGTTACTTCTTGCTGTCTTTTTTGTGGGTTGTCGCGTCTTGGTCCCCTCGGCTGACAGACCCATTACCAGTTTCTGCTGTTGCTGCTGCTGCTGACCTCGGCCTACGCAGCACGACTTCTGCTAGAGCGGAGGCCCTAGCAATCGCCGACCCCTCTGCTGCCGCTGAAGCGGCGCGTATAGCTGGTGGGTTTCCTGCGCTGCAACAACGCTGTGTAGGCGCTGCATCGACCACAATTGCTGCATCTGCTTCTCTTCGCGGAGGCATCTGTCTCCGTCTCGCCGCATTGAGAGCTCTAGCTTACTGGTGCTGCTGCTGCACCTTAGCCGAACAGGAAGCCACGCACAATGTGCAGCGAAACCGAATACGCCAACAGCAGAAGCAACAGATGGTGTTTCATGCAGCTCCCCCACGCACCAGTAATTCAGAAACAGAGACGAGGCGGGAAAGCACCAGGACCAGCAGCAGCATAGCCCTTCTACGTCAACTGCAGCAAGAATGTAGAGAATCATTCGCGCAGCTGCTGTTGCAGCAGCAGGATGCGCAGCGGCAACTGGCAGAGCGACAAGGCATTGAAATGGAGGCAGCCTGTGCCTTGAGGGAGAAGCAAGAACAGGCTTTGAAAGCAGCGGTTGCTGCTCGTTCTGAGTCTTGTACTGACAAGAGTGATGCAAAAGACCCAACAGTAGTTGCTGCTGCTGCTCTTGAGGCGTGCGAAAGGGACTTGCAGGAGCTGGTGCAACAGCACTTGAGTGAGTGTGAGCTGCTTGAGAGACACTGGAAACACGAACAACAGCTTCTGCGCAAGCAGCAGCTGCACATGTTCAAGAACGTAGCAGCAGATCTTTACTTACTGCAGCATGGTTCTGCTGCTGTGCATGGGGCGGCGTGCCAAGAGCTGGTGCTTCCCCCTCTGCCTTCTGCAGATGAAACTGAGAGGTGGACCTTTAACTGGAAGCAGCAGCAACAGGAGCAGCAGCGGCAGGAACAGCTGCTGCACGACCAACAACAGCCAACCTGGCGGCAGGTTGGGATGGCGGCGCGTCAGCTCTTCAGAAGACGCGGCGGCAGCCCTAGCCAGGATGGAACGTCTTCCCATGACTCTTCTAGAGGCGCTGATTGTACTCCTGCTGCTGCTGGTGCCCCAGATACAGCAAAAGAGGAGCGTCTGCGAAGCTCGGGTGCAGTAGGGCCTCATTTAGGATCAGCAGCAGTTGCTGCGGCTGCCATTAGTGCACTCATGGGTGCAACAGCTGCTGCTGGGCAAAAATGCCAGCAGCAGCAACAGCAAAATCAGCAGACAGCACACAATGGATCAGCCCAGCTACGACAAACAGTACAGCACAAGCAGCAGCAACAACAGCAGAAGCAACAAGGGCTGCAGGGGTCCTCCATGGATTTGACTGCGGGTGCGACACATTCTCAGCTCCGCAAGCAACACCAGAGGCAACTCGCAGTAGCAGCCGCCGCTCACCAGGGGCCGGTTTTCGACATGCCTCGCCTGCTACAGGGCATAGCAGCTGGTGCAATGCAGCCACAGCAGCGTCGCCCTTCGGGAATGCTCCCGCAGCAGCAACAACCTCGGCAGCTGGGGGGGGTACAGGAACATGCAGAGGTGCGGCTTATATTCGGGGCTCAGCGCCGACGAACGATCTGGTTGCACGTCTGCACAGGTCTCACAGCGGATTTCTTTCCGTCTAGTACTGCTGCTGCTCCAGAGCAGCAAAACGAGCAGCAGCTGGGGAGCGCGACTGTTTCGTGCGCTGGTGAATGGCTGTCGTTGCTAGGACAAGGAAGCACAGCCTTTCCTGAGGAACAGCTCGCAGACTGGCCTGGTGGTTCCTCTTCGTACTGCTACAAAGACGTGCGAAATATGCGTGACAGCCCGCTTTATTGCTCGGTGGGCAGCAGTGGGAGGCTGAGTTGTGGGGATCCGCTGAGCTGGCCTGAAGCCGACGGTCTCTCTGACGACCTGTTTGCTGCCCTGAAGAGCGGGCCGCGAGCGTCTCTTTCAGGGGCCGTCCTGCCCACTGGGGCGGCCATGCAAGAAAGTTGTGGATGTATTGAGTTGGGGAATGATACTCCAGATCTGCTACTACCTTCCCTGGAGGAACAGCGACGTCTGCTCCGCGCGGCTATGCATTCAGTGAGACGCAGCAGCAACTACCTCGGCAGCCAGCAGCGGCTGCTTTTGCAACAAGGAGAAGTGTTTGTCTCTCGCCATGCAGCCAGGTTGCGTCCACAAGTCTGCTTTCACCTAGCGGTTGCTTCGGCGGGGACGAGTCATGAGGCGTCTCAAACGTCGAGCCCTTCAGCAGCAGCACAGTCCGCAGAAGCACCATTGAAACCCGACAACAAAAGGAGGAGCAGCGCTGGGGATGACCTCGATTCGCCGTGCGCGCCGGTTTGCGAGGGGCTACGGCAGATACTCCGACTATGCGAAAAGCATGCAGTTGGTGCGCTCCTGTTACCTGCACTGTTGCTCGAGACAGAAACCTCCGCCAGCTGCCTGCCGGTTGCCCTGCTCCAGCGGAGGATGCTTGCGGTGCTACGGTGCGTCGTTGCAGAGCTCCGGACCATCGCACTTTCTCCCGTCAGCAGCAGTTGCTGCTCCTCGGGTGCCTCGATTGGAGGATTGAGGCATATCGTACTGTTGTTGCCTCCCATACAACAGCAGCAGCAGGAAGGATCTGGACAAATGAACCTTCTAGTGCAAGCGGCTGTGAACTTCCTGAGAAACTCTGCATACTGCTGCTAATGTTTCAGTACTTTCCGTGTCATGCATGAAAACTTCAGAGTCACAGGATGTACCAGGAATATAGAACGGTACCTGTGAAGTGATCTCGTAGCGTTACGAAGCTTTTTGCCACGACAACTTACAGCTAACAGGGGGGCTTGTGGCGTTCTGTGTTACCGACCCGGCCCAGACTGTCGTGCAACAGCCCACCTCGGGGCAAATCGCTGCAGCGCTAACATATGGCAACTAGTTCTGACAACTCGTTTCACGAGTTCCCCGAATGCAGCTTCAAGATGTTTAGCTTCTATAACCATTACACTGGTGGAGTGCTGAGCGGCTTTTATCAGCGAAGCCCGCGCCCCCAGCGCACGCACCCTCAAGAGAGAAATGTGATAGGAACGGTGTCGCCCTTGCAGCGCGTCATTAAGAATGACAGGGCGTGCGAGTGTGCCCAGAAGGTCTTTTCAAAGCCATTATCAGGCTCTAGCACGTCTTGTGACATTCTTGTTGGGCTCGAGAAAGCTTAAGAAATTCTCAAACGCGACTTAACGACGTCCTCGGAAACTTGGACCAGAGGCGCAACCCGTAGTGTTTCCGCCAATAGTCTACACTTAACGCCTTCGAAAAAAACGCTACCCTGCGAACTTGGGATATCTTTTCTCTTCTTGCTGCTGTATATACACGTTTGGATCGCCCTAATAAAAGTCGTGCTCGGTGTCCTGCAGTGCGTAATATTCGTCTTACCAGTGCTCCTTCTCAGCCTTACTCGGGGAAATAGCATCGAGGGATCGTTGGCAGGGATCATCCCGTAGAGTGCCAACTGCTGCGTCAAGCATGCATTCGGTGCCATTCAGCTTCTTTTGTTCAGCCTCGATTTATTGCTTCTCATACTCATACTGCCGCTTACTTTCAGAGCGCAGCGCGAGTAAGTCGTTGTAGAACACATCGTAGGTGGAATTCTATCCTATTCTCAATTTCACGGTCGAATCTGAGCATGTGATGCAACGCTGTGCATTCTCGGTTTAGGCGGGCCCAGACCAAGCGTTTGATCAGGTGATCGAATGCCGCATGTGCCATTCGTTTTGTCGCGTAGTCTGTAGGCAGTTCAAAGAATTCCGCCAGCATACATGACTAGATCTGTAGGCTCATTACTCGAGAAAGCGAGTGATGATCCTGGATATCTAGTCCTGTGTATGCTCAAGAAAGGCGTGGTACACTGACTCGTTTTATCTTCTGCCCGTCCGTTCGTCATAATTGTCATCAGTGTCGTGATTAGCCGTGACCAAGTACTAATATCTTGCAAGACACATGTCCGGTGGCCCCCACATCGCGCTGTATTCCGGCATTCGCTCTCTGCGCCGACTCGGCAACCTGCTGGAGTTGATACGGGATCAGCCTGCTCACCCTGTATAACGGGCAAGTCAGGCGGCGCAGCGTGTCGGCTTTTACCTGCAAACTGCGCAGATGGGGGTGTTATACTTCAGACAAAGGCCTTCGTTCGGAGGGATACAGTTACCTTGTTTGGCTCATTTCGAGTTTAGTTGGCTTGAGATCTGTCCCTCTGCAGAACGAACGCTTCTAACACATTTTGTGCAATTAGAAATAATCCAAACAATGAAATCAATTGCATGTATTCTGAATTATGCGAGATCAGCATTTGGTCCCGGCACAACATTGTACTGCTGTGCACTACCGATCGGAACCCCAGGGGACTCCACCCGGCCTATGCAGCAGCTGCGATCACACTAAAATACCGTTGTCTCGCCCGATATTTCATTTTCATGTATTAAGCGCGCTGTAAATATCCAATTTCTCATGAATGTTATTAAAGATGTGTCCCGTTTACGTATTAACTACATCTTGGCTCACAAGGTGGACCTAGTGTGTGGCCTGTTCGAAGCATCGCGAGCCACCTGCCCAGCTCTTACTCATAGTCAAGGAAGACAGTCAAGTTGCACAGCATGGATAGACTATACCTTACATCTGTGGAAGAGAAAACTCAGCAACGATCCCGTTGCTGCATCTGTGTGCTTCGCTCCATTCCAGTATCCGGCGTGCGTACCCTAGCGCCCCTCTTCGCACTTTCTTGCGTGATTGCCTGTATATAGGAGTACCCTTGCGATGCAGTAATGTGACACTTTAACCCTCGGCGAAGCCCATATCAATGCCGCAGCTTCCCGGTAACGCAACAGTCGCAGGGGAACTTGAAACTGCGCAGCGGAGCGCCTGCAGCCATGAAGTTCCTGGAATATTCAGATGCATTCCGAAAGCAGTCTCAAGTGGAGGTCTTCAGACTGCATTAGCTCATCCCCACCGTCCGCCCACCCTATCCACCCGCTAGAGCCATGGCTTCGTCTGCAGACAGCAGCGCCGCAAAGACGCGCAACCCACCCCAAGTGTGCACAACAAAGTTTCATTTTCTTCTACCTGCAGATAGAGTGTGATGCAGAGTGCTGTCGTCTCTAGCAGCAGAATCATCGCGGATGTTCTTCCTGATATTATCTGTATCACTCAGGGAGAGGATGCGACGAGGACAGCGCAATACTGGGATTTGGTGCACGCAAGGGGCCGCGTTGCGTACTTCATTTCAACCCGGTCCCTGCAGAAGGTGCTCAAGCCCATTGTGAAGCTAGGCTCAGCTGATGCAGCTGCTCAGGTGCTGCTAGAAGACGCGCATATTGCTGCGTTAAGGGCACATGAACCATGCGGCGAACTGAAGCAGCAGCAGCAGCAGCGGCAGAGGCAACCACAGAGGAGACATGTTGCACGACCGCCTATTCCCCTATCTCACACCCTTTTAGAGTTGATGTGTGGCTCGCGTCCAACCCACGTAAGATCTTGTCCCCCTACTTGTCTTGTTTTTATTGCATAACTGTCAGATTGTTAGCAGAAGCAGTAATAGGGGCTGCAAGAGGTGGTGCTGTCTGTGTGCTGTCGTGACTGCAGCTGCGGCTGCTCCAGAATGGCGCGGTGACTGCTTATGTGGGAATCGACGTCTCCCAGCGGGCGCTGCACTTGGCCCGGGAGGCCTGCAGACGGCAACTCTCTGCAGGAGAGCCCCCGAACAGCGGTGCCTCATTCGCAGGAGCCGCTCAAGAATCAGCTGCAAGAGCATCTGCAGCAGGACCTCTAGCAAAAACCGCGGCTTGCGTGCATGAGGTCCTGGGAAGCTGCACATTGCTGCGTCATGACTGCCGCATGTTAAGCGAGGAGTTGCCCTTGCTGCAGTCACGATTTATTTTGCTGGTTGCAGGGCTCGACGATATCATAGCACGCAGCACTACAGACAACACAGACGCCCGAGGGCCTTGCGACGAGGCTCTCCTCCAGGTGCTCCACTCCGCCGCATTCGCGCTGCCTGTGGGCGGCACTTTGCTGCTGCTAGAGCCCATGTAAGCCCCATTTTGTTCAAAGGACTGGTGCTCTTGTTGAGCTGCCCCCAACGCACATGCGTGTGTCATTCACTGTGTCTTGCTGCTCCTCGGCGGCCTGCGCTTGGCCGTTGGAGCAACGACTGGCAGTTCCTGAAGTGTACGCGGACGTTCTTCCCTTTACGCCTCTTTCTCTGCATGTCTGTCACAGGAAGCACTTCCCCGAGCTGTTGCTTAGCTTATACAAGGCGTTGCAGCATCCTGTGCTATGCTGCCGTCTGCTGCTATGCGAGGCAGCGGAGCTCGTGGGGCCATCGCGAGATGTTTTCCTACTGCGCCTGCGAAGGCATACGGATGCCTCAGAGTGTATGCGGGCTCTTGAAAAGTTCCACGCTACTGATGTTGCTAGGTAAGCAAGAGTGAACGCTTGCGCCTTTACGTTCCCCTGTCTCACTGCGGTTTGGCCTGCCCCTCTGTTTTTAGTGGTGGGGGGAATTGTCAATTGTGCCGACTCTTCGTGTCTGCATCACTCTCCGACCATTGTATTTATACTTGTGCCTCCTTCCGTCGGTTCTATCTAATTGCACTGCACGGAAGTACGTGGTTGACGGTCTCCTCAGACTGTTACAGTGTTTGCCTGCAAGTGTATTAGCTAGCTGTCTGCTTTTCAGCCTTCCTCTCGTCTTTTTTATTCCATAAGACTTGCTCTGTCTCTCCCTGCCTTTCTTATGCGCGTGTCCTAATCCACATCACAGACTGTTCCCGCAAGGGGCACTGTCTCCGCCTATGGGATTGCCCAGCTCGGGAAATGGGGTGCTTGCGTGAACGCATTTAACTGTGCGAATATGAATGTCTCTCTTCTCGCTCTTGCATATGTGTGTCTCTTGCCACCAGACTCGCAACAAGGAAGCCTTTTCGCCGCGGTCTCCAAGGGGCCCTTGAGGCTCCGCAGGCAGTGCAGCACGCGATGCCCCTGTGTTACCGTCTTTCCCTGGTCCAACAGGCAAAAGAATTGTCATTTCTTCTCTGTCAGGTTCGTAAGAGCGTTGACGGGGGCTCTGTGTGTGCGTTTAACTTCGCCTAGTAGCTGGCTGCTTGTGATGAGTGCTGCCCCGTACTCATGCGTTTTTTTTGTGGGAAGAGAGAGCCGCTTCCCTGTCGGCTATGTGTCCTTACCGTAGAGGATATAGAGGGAGCCACAATGAGTGAGGAGCAAGAACTAGAACCCAACATGGATAAATCTCGATACCGTATGAAGTTCGAATATCTCCCTTTGACAGCGCCCCAAGTGTGTGGTGCGTCTCTCGTTCAATCCAGGCATGCAGGGAAGGTGACTTACTCGCTACGACAAAGCTCCTGGCGTTGGGTGCAGAAGTAAACTGCAGCGGCAACAGCAACACCACTACTGTATCTCCGCTGCACGCAGCAGTCGCAGCCGGGAACCCCCAGTTGGTAGACTTGCTGATCCGTCATGGAGCACAGCCGACGGGGGGCCTCTTCGAGGACCCTCTTTCCGTAGCTGCGGATATGCTGCTACAGGAGGCAGTTACTGCTGGCCTTTCCCTTCCCGAAGACTTGAACTGTACAGGAAGCAGCAGCACAGGCGTGAGGCCCTCTGCGGCAACTGGAGTAGCATGTGCGAAGCAGCAGTCGCTCCTCAGAAGTATCATACTTCTCTCGTGGGTGGAGGGGCAAATGTCCGCACTTATGGGAGGGCCCATCTGCGGCTGCTGCTGCTGCAAGAAAGACGACTTCTTGCAGACAGCAGCGGGGGTCCCTCCTGTCTCCTCCCTGATTTGGCCCATTGGAGATCCGTTGGAAGTATGCCCCCTCTGCTGCTGTTGGTGCTTAAACGCTCACCACTATCGCTACCACTGTTGCTACTGCGAATACTACCGTAGATGGCCATGGTTGTGCAGGTGCTGCTAATACCTCTAAGTGTTGTTGTCGTTGCTGCAGGCATTCTCGGGGGGACATCCACAGGATTTCACAGAGGCTGCAGTGCACTAAGCGTTTCGTGGAAAGCGCTGGCCCTGCTGCAGCAGCCGCTGCATCGCCGTCCGTGTTGATGCAGTCACCACCGTAGGGTACAACGACGTGAACTGAACCGTACCCCTGCCTCCAACCAACTGAAACCGCCTGACACGGAGATGTATCTACATCTGCGAACTAAAGGGTTCCACTAAAAGAAACATGAACGACCCAACGTCAGGGTAGACTCACACCCTAGCGTTGTTCCGTTGCGCCTGGCTGTTGCGCTACTCCTGCAGTACGTTAGCTGCTACTGCTGTTGCGACCGAATGCCGGTGCTCTTTGCTCTTGGCTGCTACCTCTCTTTCAACTGTGTTTGTCTGCTCCTTAGTATCAACAGAGTAGCCCCTAGCAGCTGCCATAGCAGTTGCAGCAACATCGTCCCGAACACCGGCCGTCTTGAAAGGCTCACGTTTGGTTCGTGAAGCCTCCCTATGGCGGTAGCTTGCGTGCTTTCATGTGCCTCCCATAGAATCGGATATCGAAGCATGCTGATGAATGCACATAGCGGTTTTTCTGGTGCAGCAAACTCTGCTCTCCAGATACTGTGGCAGACATTGCTGCCGTCGCTCGCTGTTGCTTCCGCCTGCGCAGCAGCAACGGATTCCAAGCTGCAGGTTCCTACATAAACCTCAAGAGAGGAAATGCTCTCTTAAGATTTCCGAAGCCCCAGTTTATGTAGTAATTCGTCTGCAATGTTAACTGCAAATGCTGCGAGAACTTCAAATGCTGCAGCAGCTGCTGCTGTTGCAGAAGCAGCAGCATCAGCTGGCGGATTGCCGCCATATTTGCTACGGCGGCGAGCGCGCAGCTCCGCTCAAGGGGGCTCTCCCTGAAAGGAGCCCCTCACCAGATTGTCGAGTTGAACGTATTCGCTGTGAAAGGCGGTCCTCCACTCCCCGCCCACCCGCTGCGCCGCAACTCACAGCAGACACATGAAGACACTTGTGACAGTGAACAGACCGCAGAGACAGCAGCGCATTGTACATATGCTCCGCATAGTGGGGCACCTGTTCGGCAGCAACAAACAAGAACGAAATAGCACCTTGCGGAGCCCCAGCAGGAACATGCAACTACAGATCCCAACCCTGGAGGCGGAGAAGCGAGCAGAAACAAGAGGAACAGGACGCCACAGGAGCACCGAAGCAAATGGCATACAGACAGCGTCACTGTTCTAAGCTGCTTCCAGACACAAGCCGTATACTCGAGGGGAAAAGAGAGGCCGACTGCATTACTAAATGAGAACTGAGACCCACTTGGGTTGGCCCATCGAAGCAAAGGGGTTGGTCGACGTAACGGGAGCTCTTCCCGGAGTGCCCAGAGAGCCTCCCCCCAGCGGGGCCCCACTAGGGGCCCCCACAGGAGCCCCAAACGGTGACGTTTGCTGCTGTACTCCTGGGGGACGGTACGTCTGCTGCATGCCCACTGTCTGCTGCAGCGGCTGCTGCAGTTGCGGCTGTTGCAACTGCGACTGCTGCAGTTGCGACTGCTGCAACTGTGGCTGCTGCTGCTGGAAAGGACTCCCCCCAAAGTGAGACCCCTGTAGAGAAGCAAATGGATTGGAAGGTCTTGCAACTGGCTGCTGGGGGCCCCTCATGCTGGCGAAGGGGTTTGTCTGTTGCTGCGGCTGTTGCAGCTGCTGCATCTGCATCATAGGGTTCGGCTGCTGGTGTTGCTGCAGCATGAGATTCGGCTGCGGCTGCTGCTGCATCATCATCTGCGGAGGACGGCCCAGGGCGCCTCCCATTCCGAACGGTTGCTGCTGCTGCTGCGGCTGCTGCTGCGGCTGTATGCCAAACAAAGAGCTACTGGGCTGCTGCAGGGGCTGTAACTGTGGCAGAGAGTGCAACTGCTGCATAGGCTGCTGCGGCTGGAGTCCCCCACACGCTCTCCACTGCTGCTGGGAGGGGTCTATGAAGGAGCCCATAGGGGCACCTTGCTGGGGCATCTGGGGCATCTGCATCTGCTGCATGTTTGGGGTCATGAGGCCTTGCGGGGTTTGTCCCTGCCTCCACATTGCGTTTGGCTGTTGTTGCTGCTGCGGTTGCTGTTGTTGCGTGTGTGGCACAGCAGTCATACCCATACCTGCAAGGCCCCCCATTCCGGGAAGCGTGCTCTGGGGGACGCCTCCCTGATGAGCTCCTGTGTCGGGGGCCCCCGTCCATACGTTGCTGCTGGGCTGTGGCCATCCGGCTGCAACGAAGTCCTCTTGCGGAGCGCCTTTGCGCCTGCCACTGCTTTTGTCTCCTCGATTTCCGCGGGACCTCGAGGAGGCCCAGGAAGACCTAGGGGGAGAGTCCTGAAGCATTTAAGCACAACACAAGCAACCCAACAGCAAGTGGCTTCTCTGTGTTGCAAACATAAACGTGCATGAGTTGATATATGCACCAGCATGGAGAGGTATGCATGGAACAAGATCGACCATACAACCCACTGTCTTCGCGCAAATGCGTGGAGCTCTCTTTGCGCTACATATGCCTCGATCTTTATGAAATGTGTGCAACTGCACGTGTATAGTCTTTTACTTAAAGACAGAGTTATACAATGTGTGGTCTTCGGCTGTGCAAGCGTACACCCTGACACAAGGGCACCGAGGAAAACGGCATGTTCAGCTACATAATGCTGCTGTAGCAGCAGCAGCAGCATTGGCTACAACGTACATCACTAGACTCCGGGGATTCGCTGGAAGGAGAAGGTGAGTCCCTCCTTCTTGAGTGCCCTCTGCCGTGGCGTCTCCTTCTTTCGGGGGCTCGGGACGAGGAGCTCCGAGGTTTGCTTCCGCTGTCTCGCGTACTGCTGCTGCTGTTGCCGCTGCAGCAAAACAAGCAAAGATCCAACAGACGCACGAGACCCTTCAAGCGTTGACACAGAAGTATATGCGCTAAATGCAGCCGAGCAAGCACACAGACTATCATGTGCAAGATGATAGCCGAGCAAGCACACATATCATCTTCAGCCAAAACCGAAAGGCACAACAGCACGCTGACAGGCGGCAAAAAAAACACGAACACAAGCAGCACATCGGAGGCATATACCCGCCTCTCACCCAAACTTGTTAAGGAGTTTCTGCACTTCAAACGCCGTGAAGCGATCCGTCCCGATCTTCTTCGCTGAGGTCTTCCCCGCGCTGCAGCCGTTGCAGAGAAACTCATAGCGCTGCAGGTCCACGGAGCTCACGCCCTGTTTAGTGATGTCGGACACAAACAGCACAATACAACAAATGCTTTACAACCCCTCGTCTTCTGTACGGAGATAGTAACGAGTAAGAAAAAGCCCATAAACAAGAAGCACATTCTGGGCATGACAGCACAGTAACAACAGCAATGCCTGCCGAAATGCAGCCACCGCATCCGCAGCAGCAAAACGGCAGCAATAGGAGGAGAAAAAACAGCGGCAGCAGAAACAGCCAATTACCCCTCTGCTGCACAGTGCGCACTGGTCGTGGCTGTTGGCAAGAAAGTACAGCTTCTCAAGATTGACGGCGTCCTCATACTCGGTCTTGCTCAGGCCCATCTCAGCCGCGGAGGCGGAGCTGAACCCCATTTTCAGCAGCTGCTACTCCTGTATTTTCCTCCTGCTCGCAATAAGAAAATGTCTACTGCCGCGGCTGCTGCAGGTGAGCTGGGGGCCCAGCAGCGCAACTTCATTCGGCCGCTGCAGCCCCCTATAGCCGTCGCTGTAGGAGCTGCTCCTGTAGTGTCTGTTGCCTTTGTCTGTATGTGCGCGTATTGCTGCGGATGTTGTCGGTGCCAGTGATACCGCTGCTGTTCGTGCTGCTGACGGTGATGCAACTACACCTGCTTTGCCACAACTACTACTGCCTGGAGGCTGAACCCTAGCCAGGAGGAGTCTTGGAGCAACCTCAGTGTCTCCCTTCCCCTGTGGCTACTCCTGCAACTGCCTACTTGGGCTGAAAGCCTCTGGGCAAAGCCGCGGGGCCCCTGCTGGCGGAGGGGCCCCAGGAGCTGCCTAGTAGCACGCCTGGAACAAGCTGCGACGGATGACGCGCTAGTGGTTTATTGCAACAGTAGCAGCTCAAATTAAGTGAAAAAAGATGGGGGACAAATGCCAATATGAGCTGGAAAGGCTGCAGACAGCGGGAAAGACGACTGTGGACAGACTAGCGGCTGACGAGCTAGAAGCCCAGACGAGAGAAGCTGAAAAGAAAGAGACCCTTTCTGAGTTCAAATAAGTGTAACAAAAAAAAAGGCAAACGAAGTAGTGGCTACTACTGCAGCCCCTCCTCCCCCTCCCGCCTATCTTGATGCTACTGCTGCCGCTCCCGTGGCAGAACCGACTTGCGTTGAGGGGCTCCCCTGCGTTGCTTCCTTTTCTGTCTGTTGCTTAGCCTTGTGTTATAGACCGTGTTTATATAGGAGCTGCCGAAAGCGGCCATATTCAAAAAAGCTTAAAGAAGAATTACCACGTGCCACATGGAAATGCAATAGGCAGCTAAACTGCGACTTTGCCCAACGACAGCAGCAGCAACATGTGCTGCAGCTAGAGCTGGAATAGTAGGCACAGAAAAAAATGGATCCTCTTGAGTGCTCTTTTTAAGTGTAAATGAAATCGATAGATAAGCTGGGGGGTTACCTGCTTACCCGAGGCATACGGTTTCGTCGGGCAATGCGCTGTCTTGTTACGTCTTGTGGGCGGCTTTGCGTTAGACTTCGTTGAGTTTCGTTTCTTTGGTATGCTTAGTTAAATTAGAACTAAAGTTAGCAGATGTCGTAGTTGAGCTGTACGGGGGGACTTAGAGAGGTAGACAAAGGGAGGACTGCTAGCGATGGACCCCTCCTGCACGGTCTGCAGGCGGTGGTAGGCCGGCGAGTGTTTGCAGTGGTGTTCGACGATCAATGTGTACAAACCCGCCCATCTGCAGTCCTAGCACTTAGATGAGAGCCTTTTTCGGGAAACAGCCTAGCTGCAGGGATGCAGATACACAGGGCGTGTGGGGAACGCTGTAGATCTTCGACATCCGAGCTGCCACAGGTTTTGCTTGCTACGCAAGACGGTGACATCCAGTCAGTTCAGCTGCAATGCAGAAGAAGGATATCGTCGGCAGCGCGGGGGCGTCTAGCTCAAATGGTAGAGCGCTCGCTTAGCATGCGAGAGGTAGAGGGATCGATACCCTCGTCGNTCTAGCTCAAATGGTAGAGCGCTCGCTTAGCATGCGAGAGGTAGAGGGATCGATACCCTCGTCGTCCACTCTGTTTGCGCTTTAGAGAATGCTGTTTGCTGTGTGATAAACTAGGGGCATATCGTCCCTGCGCGTTGCTCATTACTGTTCCGGTACCTGTGGAGCCGGTCATATTCTGCTTGTGTTCGTTTGCACCAGGAAGTTGCGCAAGTCTTTCAGATGCATAGACGCCACAGAGATGCACCCTAATCAACCAGATCCATGGGACTTATAGCTTGCAAAGATATGCTCGATTCATATTATAGGTGCGTGAGAAAGGAGTATGCCTTCGTCAAGAACGCCTAAAATAAGCTACAGAGAAGGAGGCGTACATGGGATGTGTAGGTGAAGTTTTACATGCATTGCATACGCAGTCATTTTGTCCAGTCCCATGCACAGTCAGCCTGTGCAGTCCCCATACGGGAGAAGCTGCCAATACAAGTGCACACGCTTGCGAGCAACTGCGTTCATTAAGTAAATGTTCGCATTTCCACAACATCCGTTTTCCGGTAGGTGATCGTCCCCACAAACAAGAAAGTAACGAGAAGCGAACGCTCTTGGGACTTGTCCATAAACTTGGCTGCTCCACATGAGAGGAAAACAGCGCTGGAAAACTTGATCATGGTTTCTTCTTCTATGAAACTGAAAAATGTGTTACAAAACCAGTTAATGCTATTAAGGCGGCTTCCCCCGATGCTGCTGTTACTGCAGTTAATGCTACTGCAGTTCCAGGCTGCAGTGGCGGTTGCTACTTCACAACCAGGTAGCACCGAATGAGTAGGGACTACTTCTAAGGCCGCCAGGGCCTGGACAGCAGCAACACCAAATGCCGCTTGCTGCTGCTGTCGGTGTTTCCGTTGCGTCACGCAACAAGACCAGATGATACGGTCTTTTCTTGAAAGCAGTGCGGTTCACCCCCTACGTCTGGAGCCGGCCCTCACTGCCATTGTTGCTACTGCTGCGGTTGCTGCTGGCGCTTTTGCTGCTTCTAGAGCAGGCGGCAGATCTTGATGAGAAATTTTTCCTTGCACTCCTAAGGGACGCAGAAGGCCAAGAAAGGGGCCACCTAGGCCGCAGCAGCATGGCCAAATCTTCGCCCATAACGCGATGAGCATTGCTGCTGCTGGTACTACAGACAGCAGCGGTAGCTGCAGTGTACGGCCTGGCAGGAACGGTGTATTTTACGCCCCAAGGGACGCAGGAGCCGCGTAGTTGCTGTGAAGCGACACTGCCAGCAGTCTGGTGATCTTGTTGCAGAAGGGCTTCTGCCTTTCCCGGCGCACCAGCAACCGGTGGTGTTGCTGCGAGCGGGTGGACGCCGCTGTTGCGGCTGCTGTTACTGTTGGTTCTTTGGCGTTTGTCTTCGGCTTCGAGGGCCCAAAATGGTTTGCAGTAGAGAGCGGCAGCAGTTGCTGCTTTCCTGACGGCCCTCAGCGAGCGGGGGCTAACAGCTTCTGCATTCGGATCATGGACGGGGGCCAATGAAGCCTGCGGGGAAACTGCTCCAGGTAGGTGGCCGACCCCTTCCGAAGAGTTTCCAGCATGCTCCAGTGCGCGTGCCTCATCCTGGACCTGTAAAAAGCTCGCAAATGCTTGGGTGCTGCAGATTTCTTGCAGCAGGGGCCCCCCATCCACTGGGGCTCCCTGTCCTCTTAGCCTCCCACCGCTGCCCGGGGTATCCTTGCCTTTAAAGGGACCCCCGCAAGGATAGCCTAAGGGGGCGCCATAGCGCGATCGAGTAATAACGGTGCAACCCCGTAGCAAGTCAACAAAGAAGCGAAGGAATACCTCCCGAAGAACTGAATCTGCTACCGCATTCGCCTGTTTCTGCTGCATCTGCTGCTGGTGTAGCTGCTCCTGCTGCTGTTGGCAGCAACCGCCAGTGGCCACAGCAGAGTTCCACTCACGAAGGATGGTGAGAGGATTCTCTGCCCCATCCAGAGGATCAATCTGGGGCTGTATGCATGCAGTACTTGCCTGCTGCAGTGCAGCCATACGAGATGCAGCAGAAGCAGCTGCTGCTGCTGCTGCTTCTGTTGCCTTCGCTGCCTCCGCTTCTGCATCGGCCTCAGAATGCAGTTGATTCTCTGCAATGCTTTGGTCGCCCAAGCTGCTACTGCTGGGTGCAGCAGCACCGGAGGTGGCAGGGGCTGCGTCCTGACCGCTTGGGTAGACAACAGGTATGTTCAAGGCGTCACCCTCTTCAGAAGACTCAAATGAAACGCCCGAAAACTCGCGCCACACCGGCAGCAAGTTGCAGCTAGGCTCTGTTGCTGCCGCAGCAACGGCAGCAGCTCCATCCTGCAATCCCGTTGCAGCAACAAATGTCGCGGGGGCTGAAGAAATAGCATCCCCTGGTCCCCACGACTCGTCTCTATCACTAACCCCTGAGCCTGCTGCTGCTGCCGCCGCTGCTACTGCTGCTGCTGCTGCCGTGGGTGCCGGAGTAAGACCTCTTGCTGCTGCTGCAGAAGGTCTCTTTGCCTTGACCCACGTTCTGCTGCGCTCAAAAACTTCGCTGCTGCTTCTGCATTGCCGCTGAAACAACAGTGACACTCCCCTCCGCCCGCGGTTGCTGGTGCTCGTTGCGGGCTGCTGCTGCTCTTTCTCCTGCAACGGAGACTGCTGCTGTTCCTGCTCCTGCATCGCCAGCTGCTGTTGCTGGGAATCGTCAGCTTTAGCTGCAGCAGCAACGCTCGCAGACTCTGCTTCGCTTGCTGCTGCTGCTCGTGCAGGTGAAACACACAAATCCGGCGAGGGTGACGGGTGTTCGGGATTCTCGAACGGCGGCTGCTCCTCTTTTTGTCGTCGTTTCTCCTCTTCTTGTTCCAGTTGCTGCTGTTGCTGTCGTTGCTGCTGCTGCTTCTCCCGCATCCATGAGGCAGCATCAGCAGCTGCAGCTGCAGCGTGAGCTCCGACGGGAACGGACGAGTAGCGGAAAGCAGCAGACTGCCCTGGGCTGCCCCGGAGCGAAGGTGCTGTGTCTGCAGCAGCAGCGGCGGCAGCAGCAGTTGCCGCCGCTGAAGCTGCGGCAGCTGCTGAAGCTGCTGCTGCTGCGTCCGTCATGTCCGTTCCGGAAGTCGAAGAGCGCTGCCCCCACAGCCGCCACAGCCAGTTATCTCTCCTGTGCTGCTGCTGCTGCTGCTGAAGTTGCAGCTTGGCGGGTTGCGGTAGGTGATGTAGCTCCCGTTGCTGCAGCTGCTGCTGATCTGTCTTTCCAGGAGGCAAGAGATTCAAGAAGCGAAAGACAGAAAGAAGGGCCCCGCTATGAGAACGACTGGCTCCCCCTCTGGCAGTGGTGTTGCCGATCCTACTGCTGCCAGCAGTTGCTGCCCCTGCGGCACCAGCTGCTGGAGCAGCACCAAAGCTAGTGCTGCTCTGGCCACCTGACTGTGGGCTAAACAAGTGCTGTTGCTGCTGATTTCTGCTGTTTGCACGCAGAAGCTGTAGGGGGTCACCCCTGGCGGCGCCTTGCTGGGACTGCAGGGCTGCGCCTCCTGCAGCGTTGTTACTGAGACTGCCTAGCTCAGCAGCAGCAGCAGTAGCAAGCCGTGCACTGTATGTTGCTGCTTCTTCTGTGATTGCAGCAATTACATTCTCCCGAAGGACCAGCCAGTTGGATGGAAGAAACGAGGGGATCTGCTGCTGCTGCTGTTGCCGCCGCTTCTTATGCTGCTTCTGCTGGTGGCGCTGCAGCATCTTCCGCTGCTGGTTGGTCAGGTTACCATCTACGATAGCTGCCGCCGCTGCCGCTGCTGCCGCCGCCGCAACTGCGTCTTTGCACAGCAACGGCACAAGGCTCGCGACAAGCTTTCTCAGCATTATATCTGGCAAGGGGGGCAGCCCCCATGCAACAGTACCTGGAGCTGTTGCTGTTGCCGCGGCTTCGGCTGCGGTTGCTGTTGCAGTTGCTGCTGCTAAAGGGTCCAACGAGTCGCGCTGCTGCGGGTCCCCTGCTGCAGTCGCAAGGGCAACGTGGGAAAGAGATAGAGAGCAGTTGTCCAAGTCCACCAAATAAACTCCTAAAGCAGCAGCAACACCAGAAGAAATGCAGCAGTCAAGTGGCATGCCGTCCTGAACTGAGTGCTGACATCGCTCAGAGCTACTGAATCAAGATAAGCAGCAGACAAGCAGCAACAGCAATAACACGTGCATGCACTGCGTCCGAAGGAGCAGCCGGTGCTACAGCTGTTGCTGCTCAAAGCATAGCAACGGCGAGCACAGCAGCAGCAACAACAGCAGCAAGTCAGCCAAACTAACCGAGGGGAAATGTATCAAGAGCGTGGGAGAAAAGGTTGATGGCGTACAACATATTGCCGGAAATTGTGTTTGTGCAGTTATTGTTTGTGCTGCTGCTGCTGCTGCTAGAAACTGTTCCTGCTGTTGCTGCGGCTGTTGCTGCTGCTGCTGCTGTAAAATCAGGAACAGTGCACACGTAAACTGCAGGAGGGGCTGCCCTTCCTCTGGGGATGCCGCTGCGCTTCCTGTGAGAGTTGCTGCCACTGCTGTTCTTCCCTTGCGGCTGTAGTTCAGCCGGAACTCCCTGTTGCGGTTGCTGCGGAGGTGGCGTCAAAAAGCCAACGCAGAAGGGGAGCGGCATCGATACAAAATGCGCGAGGGAGGCCGGAAGCAACGGGACGAACACCTGAGAGTACCGGAGGGGGTACATCAAGGCTGTACATACACCAAAACACAGCAGCAACAAAAGATGCGGATCTGTCTCAGATACACGTGAGATAGCACACGAAGGATTCTGCCGGGACAGTTGTCAGAATTCTTGTGTCGCCTGTTTTGCTGCTAAGGGTTCTGCTGACGCTGCTGAGACAGCAGCCAGAACAGCTAGCATTGCTCAGCTTCGCAGAATAGCACGCGCTCCCACACCGCATTGCTACTACTACTGTTGTTTTTTCTGTTGCTGGGGTTATGGGTGGTGCAGCTGACCAGTGAGAGCGCAAGGCAGCAGGCTAAGGCGATTTACAGATGCGGAGAGCAGCACGACTTGCTTTTCGCACAACAGCAGCAAGAACAGCAGCAACAGCAGTTCTAGAGGGAAGGACTTCAGAAGATTCACTGCAGGCAGCTGCAGCAGGAAAAGCAACACAGGTTATACCAGATCCACTATTTCCTTCAATGAAGCTGCAACTGCACCAGAAACAACTGTAGCAACGAAAAGTGCAGCGCCTGCAGCAAGCACGGCTGTTGCAACACCTACAGGAACGGGTCCAGTAACAGCTGCAGCGACGGAAGCTCACCTGCAGCAGGGGCAAGCTTCCCGGCGACGGCAGGGCGAATTGGAGGGCGCGAGTGCACTCCAGTGAGACCGAAACCTGCATCGAGTTGATGTTGTTGTTGCTGTAGTCGTTGTTGCTCTTGACAGCACCGGCATCTCCAGTGTTACTATTGCTGCTTTCACAACGCATATAAGCCTGTTGCAGCGGGAACACCACCCATAAGTGGGCTGCCACTGGAGCTGGCGTCTCCTCCACCAGCCTTGTGGCTTGTTGTTGTAGATACAACAGTGGTGAGGGGAGTAGCAACCGCTTCTCTACCTGCTGCTGCTTCTGGAGTACGATGTGACCTCTGGAACTGCATGCCGTTGCTTGACATAGAGCAGCGTACGATGTGTACGTACACCACAACCACTCATGGAAAACCCCGAAGAACGGGAGCTCAGACAGCACGCAAAACGCCCTCTCCACATAAGCCAGTGGGGGCTCACTACCGCAGCACCCAGGGGTTGCTGCTGCTGTGTCTGCACATGCTTTGTTTGTTTCTTGTTCCCTATCTGTTGCTACAGCATCTGCCACAGCGTCTCGCTCTGCAGCAACAGTTGTTGCAGCGGGACTTTTGCTGTTGCTGAGCAGGTTGTTGCTGCTGCTAGGCACCCTAAAGGTCACGAGCTCGAAGAAGCGAAGACAGTGTCCATATAGTCTGCGACCCTGCATATCTGTCAAGACGAAAACAGAAGAGGAGGGAGAATGCACTCTCAGCAGAGAAGCGCACGGGCAGCCACCCCACTGGCACATGCATGGCAGATCTCGCGCTGATGCTGCTGCCGATGACGCTGCTGGTTCTGCTGCTGGCGTTGCTGCCGGTGCGACTGCCACCGAAGCTGCTGGTTCAGAAAACATTTGAGGGGATGCTGCAGGCGCTGATTCTAAGACAGATTGGGGAACTGCCGCTGGCGCTCCTGCTGGTTTGCATACACCTGGAGACAGCAGCTCCGTCAATACAGGCGGCAAGTACGATTGCCAAGGAGACGTACAGGGCCTTGCTGCAGCAACACCTTCTTGCTGCTGTTGCTGCTGCTGCGAAGGCGGCTGAAGAAGGGTGCATAGACAGCCGCTGCTGACGGGCAGCACCTTCGCTGTCCCCTGTGGAAAACAGAACATCTCTGCGGCTGGGGGTACCTCTGGCGGTAGCCACGAGGCGTTACCTCCACCTCCATCTTCTGTTTCTGCTCCTGGTTCTGTTTCTGCTGGCTCTTTTGCTGCAGCTGGTGTCGCTGTTCCCGCCGCCTTTGCTGGGCCAGCTGTTGTTGTTGGTGGATCTGCTGAATCTACTGCTGCTGATGATGATGGCTCCACGACGGGGAGGACCTTGGGTTTCCCTTTGCGCGTCACTGCGACGTCGAAGCTCGGCGTGTAACTGCATTTGCAGTAGCGCTGTGAGTATTCGCTTGAGCTTACTCTACAACAGCTGCCGGTGTTGCTGCTGCCGCCGCTGCAAGAGCAGACGCCACGGACTCGGCAACGAATCATAGCAAGTGAGTGATTGTTTGGCCTGTTGGCGGCTTCTAAAGTTGGTGAAGCAGTCTCGCCTGCATCTGCTTCAGTCAATCCAGCTACTGCAGATGTACAATCTTGTGCTGCATCTGCTGCAGTTGATGCAGCTATTACAGTTGTCAGATCCTCTGCTGCATCTGCAGGTGCACTTGTCGCCGCTGCTTGTGCTGCAGCGGCAACAACTGCTGGAGCAGCAGCTGAAGCTCCCCTGTGAGACATCGGCCAGCTCAAGCTGCGGCGCCTGGTTCCCTCTTCATGGGAGCGCGAGGGGGTATCGCTGCAACTGCGTCTGCTGCTGCCGCCGCTGTAGTAGCTGCTGCTGGAGCACCAGCAGCAGCTGTTGCTGCTGTAACAAAAGCCGCTGCTGCCGTGCCCCACATTTGTTGCGTTCGACTGTGGACCGCAGATGTGTGCTGCCGCTGTTGGTGCTCGTGGCGCATGGAGATGCGGAGCATCAGCCCTCTTGGTATTTTTGCTGCTCCCTCGGCTGCTGCTGGGGCGTCTGCTTGTGCTGGTGCAGCCACTGGAACCAACGGGCTCTTTGCTGCGGTTGGAATCAGGGAGCAAGCAGCTGTTGGTCCTCCTTCTGCTCCTGCCTCTATTGCCGTCGCTTGGACAGCTGCTGTTGCATCTTCTAAATGCCGGTGCTGGAACGGCGTGTTTGCTGCTGCTGCTGCTGCAGCTACTGCTGCTACTGCTAGAACATGCAATGACAGAAGTGACCGCCGAAGGGCGCCGTTGCGACTGGCTGCACAAGCTCTGAACCCTACTGGAGGCGCAGAACGAGCTGGCGCAGATGCTTCTTTTCCTACTGCCTTCGCTGCTGCTGCAGCGGCTACACTCTGGCGGGACAGCCCCTTCAGGAAAGGCGCACGGAGCGCTCTTGCAAGTGCAGCACCACCAAACGTGCGGCTGTAACAGGTCACTGCTGCTGCTGTCGTTACTGCTCGTGCTGTTGCTGGTTCGCTCTACGTCTTCGCTCCTGCTGCTCCCGCTTCGTGGTAGCTCCTGCCCTTGCTGCTGCCGCTGCTGCTGCTGCTGCTGCTTTTGCTTCTCCCTCTCATGCCCCACCGGGTCGTGCTCGGAGACGAAGTCCTTGTGAACCCCTTCACCAGCACTGGCAGCAACAGCGGCCGCAGCCGGGGTATCTTCTTCCTGCCGACTTCTAGCCTCGCAGCAGCAGCAGCAGCACTGCTGTTCCTGTTGCTGCTGGCAGTAGCGGCCAATGCAGCTGTCTAGGACAGGGGTCGCCGCAGGGGGCCCCAGGACAAGAAAGGCCTCAACAAGTGATGGCATGCAACGGACATTGCGCGAAAATTGCCTCTTGTGACGCTTCTGCTGCTGCTGCTGCTGTTGGTGGTCCTGGCTTTGGTCTTCTTGTTCGTGTTGCGGCTTCTGCTGCCCTATTTCCTGCTGCTCCTGCGGAGGCACCTCCTTGTCCTGCTGCTTCGACTCCGGTTGCTCCTGCTGCTGTTGCTGTGTGGACGCTGTTTGCTTCTGTTGCATCAACTGCACGAGAGGCTGTTGCTGCTGCGAACCCGAGACCTGCTGTTGCAAGGAATCTACCGACGTCTGGTGTTGCTCCTCTTGGTGCTGATGCTGCCTCTCCGCCTCCATCACCGCCTGCCGTTGCTGCTGCTGCTGCAGATGCAGCTCCTGTCTGTGACACCTCTCTGCCAACCCCTCAAGGAGTTGCCTTCGGGTGCCCCAGCCGTCGCCGCGGCCCCCAGAATGCCCACGGGCCCCCGCAGAGTCCCCCGAGCTGCACCACTCCAGAAAGGCATTTGCTACAGATTCAAGGCGGCCGCCAGCAGCTCCTCCTGGGCCTTCCTCAGGAGACCCCTCCTCAAAGGTGTCTTTCGCGGCCCCGGCAGGCCGGGCACCTGAAGCCGCATCCCTGGGTCCCCAGGAAGTCTCTAGATTCGCGGCATCACGAGCTGCCACAGAGGGCCCCTGGGGGGCCTCTTCGGAGATACCCTGTCGGGTTTCTTCGCTGAGTCCCCTCCGGGCCCCAAAAGGTGGCCTGGCCAGGGCCTCCTCAGGAGGGGCCCCCGGCGACTCCTCGCCAGACTTTATAAAGGCTTCTACTGGAGACAGGGAAGGGGAATGCCAAATATTCATGTTCGCTGGGGGGCTCCAGGGCCCCCCCATCACTGCTGCGCTTAAAGGGAGGGGGCACGACACCGGCGAAGCCCCGACTGGGCCCAGAGGCCCCTTTGGTGATCCCAGCTTTGAGGCCCCCAATGCCAAGTTGTCCTCAGCCGCAGCAGCAGCAGCTGCTGCTCCTGTTGCAACGGCTACGTCTGCTTTGCAGCTCGCGCCAGGCCCATCCTGAACTGCTGCCGCTGTCGTTATTGTTGCCGCTGCAGCTGCTGAAGGCCCTCCTTTCGAAGCCGCTTCTGCTGCTGGGAGCCCATCTGACACTAAGACACTGGACAAATGATTGGCTACTGCTGCTTCCGTTTCTGCTGCTGCCACCTCTTCGACTGCAAGCGACTTATCCGTAGGAGAAGAGTTTGTCGCCTCGACAGCTGCTCCAGCGGCTGCTGCAGGAGCAGCACCTAGTGAGTTGCTGGGTTGCGGGGTCTTCCCGCATCCCGGTTGCATCTTCAGCATGCGCCCCTTCTGCTGCCTCTGCCGCTGCTGCTGCCTGGCGTCGTAACCGCTGCTGCTGCATTGATGCGGCTCAGCAACAGCTGAATGGCGCCGCAGCAGCAACTAGAGGCCCCCGCAGCAGCAGTGGCAAATGCTGTTGCAGGGGGCACTTAGGGGCAGCTTTGTGGCCCCTAACTGCGGAACACATGAGGGTCCCGAAGAAGTTGAAGCGTTCGCAGCTGCTGCTGTTGCTGCCGCTGCTGCTGCTCGTTGCGCTGCTGCTGCATGTTCTCTTCTAGCTGACGCTGCCGTTGCAGTCACTGCTGCGGGTAAAAGGAGTCACCTGCACATCAGAAGGAGGCCTCAAGAGCGCAGGCGCCCCTCTTTGCTGCTGCCGAAGGCCCCACGAAGGGCCCCTACCCCGACGGTACCTGGCTGGAAAACTCGGGGACCCCGAAACCGGCTCCTGCACTAGAATTGAACGGGGCTTTTTATTAAATTTTCAAAAATGTGAGCATATATACATGACTTGTTTTTTCTTGTGGCCCGCTGAGGGTCAAGAATAGTTACCATGTGATGCGGCTGCTGCTGCGCTGCTGCAGCTGCTCCTGCCGTGTGTCTTGTTGCTGCTCAGGGCACGACTTCTTCTGTCTGCAAAAGCTTGATATGTGTGTTTATTTGGGATGTTTATGCATTGTAATTAAAGGAGCACCTCTATGTTTCTCAACTGTTTGCGTTCCTAGGACCGCCGAGCGCTCCCGCGCCGTCGGCTTGCTCGAGAGCCAAGAGTACAGGTTGGGGGGCCAGCGAGGGCCTTAGCAGATGCGCCTCAGAGCCTTTGTTGAGCTTTGTCTGGCACTTCTAATGCCCACCACAGCATGCAACAGGTGTCGCGTGCTGCATTGTGCACGGGTCCGATCCTACTGCAGACGCAACTAGCCAGCCACCTGCATAGTCTGCCCGTTGGAAGTTGCCATATGGCTAGCTAGCTAGCTAGCTAGCTAGCTAGCCGACTGCCACACAGGAGTCGTAGTGTAAACCGTGCACAGCGCTGCCGCTGCTAGGGCAGGTATGTTGCTGCCTGTCCCCATGCTTCTCTTGTCTCTTGACAGCAGAATTACTTCATACAGGAGAGATTGCGCCCCTGAACCTGATCGCCAGGCCCCCAAAAGCCTCAAAAGCAGGGCTTATATGAGCTAAATATTCGAGTTTAGGGTGAACGGTGCTTCAAATGACACTAAAATAATACTGCGTTCACACTTCGCTGTGTCTATTTTACGCGCGAGGCTTCGAACGCTCCGCTGAGCCTGCGCCCTTTGGATGCATGCCCAGTCATTCCCCGTCTGTGCAAACACGCTGCATGCACACTGCATGCACCTGCACGCGTACAGTCTTTGCAAACAGCGAACCTTCTCTGCATGCATTGCAAGGGCAGAGCCACCAGACCGCACTGGACCACTGCGGTCAGTCCCCCCACCATGCCTATTACATGCATATGCTGGAGACAATCAAAATAAGTTCCAGATGAACGTCGTTGCCCCCTGATGCAGTCTTGGCATTTACTGCTACTGTTGGAACTCCCCCCACATCTGCGAGATGCCGTTGAGGCGCACAGCAAGGGCATCCCGCGCTTCGGGACTCAAATGATTGCTCCACGCCGCAACTGAGGCCGGAGTAGGGAAGCCCAGAGGAGCCTCGCTGAGAGGCCTTTCTAGAATGCAATTCGCTTGAGCCGGTCCTCCAGGGTACGCCAGGGGGGCTCCCGAAGAAACGCAGCGCAGCGCCACGAAACAACTTCTCGCCGTGCTAACGGCATCCTCAAGCAACCCTGCGGAACAGAATACCAATACACCGAGAGACAAGAGCAACGAATGAGGAAGCGTTGGCTTATGTACACAGATTAACATACAGGGCAGGGTAGGGTGTCTTTGGGCGCGTAAGTCCCCTAGCAGGAGGAACAGCAAAGTTGTCAGTAGCGTGGGAGTTGGCGTACAGACTAGGCCTTGCTTCCAGTCGTCTTTGTTTAGAGAGGCCCCGCTAAGGCTGATATGCAACAGCGCGAGACACCGCCTCACTTCAGGCGGAGGGCACGCTGGCTGCTGCAACGCAGCCGCTGCAGCCGAAGCGCTGGATGCTGCTTCGCCGCTCAGAGACAGCAGCTGCCTCTCCAAGTGTGCAGACACCAAAGCTTCGGGGTCCCCCATTAGATTTCCCCGTCTCTCCCCAGCTGAAGGTGAATGCTGTGGTGTACTATTCGTGCTGCTGCTGCTGTGAGTCACTGCAGCGCCTGCAATGAGCTGGACGGCGGCCTCGAGAGTAGCCGCACACCGCTCCATGTGCAGCCCTGAGATCTGCATCAGCAGCTCGGAAGTACAGGTACTGCTTCCACCCGCAGCAGCCAGCGAGGGCGTGAAGGATAAGGCACGTGAAATAATGCGCACAGAGAGAGCTACGAACGCGACGGCCACGAGACGAAAGTAAGCGGCACTGCAGCAGAAGGCAGAGAACGCCAGCAAGCGGAGACACATGAACAATGAAACGGAGACAGCGACCCTCGTTGTGGGTAGGGAAGACACAGGGCAGGGCAAGGAGATACAAATGACAAACAGACACGCAATGCCAGAAACAAACAAGAAAGAAAATGCTAGAGAAACACTAATCCAGTTCCGGTCACATACAAAGGCGCATCGGCAGAGATAGAGACAGACAAGGAACACATAAAAGCAAATCACGACAAGGAAAGGATACAGAAGGAATGAATTGATGAAGTGCAGATGCAAGGCGGGGCAAATGAGAACAAGCAGAGGTCAAAAGAGCAACACAGAGACGGAACACTAAACACGCTACTGCGAGAACCGTATGGAAGGCGGATTTTCACGCACATGCATACACGCATGTACTGAATATACTGCTGTGCATGTCACGCGAGGCATATATATATATATATATATATATATATATATATATATATATATATATATATATATATATATATATATATACGTGCAGGAAAGGCCAGACCAAAGGACGGAACGGAGACTGTCTGAGTCTGTTTAGACGGTCGCACCGTTTGGTGGATAGCATCGCAGTAGCAAACCTGAGGAGTAGCTCGTTGATTTGCACCTCTTCTGCTGCAAACATGAGCGGCCCCATGAGCTCCTGCCTCACCCCTGCTGCAGTTGCCGCAAGCGCCGCTGTAGCAGCAGCAACAAATGCAAGAGGGTACCGCAGGCCCCAGCAGCACAGCACAGGGAAACTGCCACAGACTGCCTGCGCTCCCTCCCCCTCCAGACTTAACAGTGCACGCGAAGCTGTAGCTGCCAAGGCCCGCTGCAACAATTTCTCCAGCAAGGGCCAATCCCCGCGATCCAGCAGCAGCAGCTGCAAGACCAGCATCGCGCATGCGCTCAGCTGCTGCTGCACCACTTTACCTAAGCATGGGCTCTGAGCACCGCAACAGCACAAGCGACAACAATCTAATCTTCAGTATCATAGCAAATGAGCTACGAAAAGCGCAACAGACGAGAACATATACAGGCTGTTGCCTAGGTGTCTCAATTTCTGCAGAAACCCATATATAGAGGTCGAACAGTTCAAAAGAACCCAGGATTCAGTAGCAAGAACTCGGTTGATGTCAGCGGAGAAGCGGTTCATTTACAACAGCAGCTGCCAACGGCAAGCAGAGGCAATCAGGAAGTAGCAACAGCGGCGAAGCAGCAATTGCCTGAATACCTGGACCAGCCGAGTCTCTGCAGAGGAATATAACAAGGGCAAGAGCGAGCCCGCCATCTGCCGTATTTGGGGGGGTGCCAGCGGAGCAGCCCCTATAGCGATGCACAGAGCTGTTGACTCTAACAAACAGAGCAACAGCAACGGCCGCTGTGGTTCGGCGACTTTCAGGCGCAGGTCGGCGATCGCTGGTATGAGTTGCAGCAGCAGCATTACCTGCAGCAGCGGCAGTAGCAGCAGCAAGGAAAAGGCGGAATAATGAGCAGCACTCTTACAATCACATCGTGACTCCTCGCCTCCCCCGCTTCGTGTGTCGTTTGCAGTGCAGTTGCACTCTGGCCCACACAAGGCCCAGAGCTCAGCATGCGTGCATTCCCTGCGGCTGCTGTTAGCAGCTTGGCCGCGCCCAGCTTAATATGGCAAGATGGGCAACTCTGTACAGCGTGCATGCTCCTCTGCAGCACCACGGAGACACTGGAGCATGTCTCATGTCTTTACGCGGCACAGACAAATACAGGCTGTCTACGTAGGGACGCACGGACCTCCTCCTGCGAGTGGCGCAGGGGGTCCGCCGCTCTGAGGACTCCAATGAGCATGCGGAAACCGCAGCGTTGCAATGCTCCCGATGGCTCTGCAGGGGCTGCGGAGATCAGACGGAAAGACAGATAGAAAGGCAGACGCATGATGAGAAATGCGTTGGTAGGTGCTGCAGTAGACACGGCAGGGGCGGGCAGACGAGCGGCAGACAAAGACAGCGCGAGAGACATGAACGGGGAGAGAAACCAGAAAAAATAAGATCCTAATACGTGCAAATAAAGAAGCGGTGGCAAGCATATCACGCTGCTGAACAGGGAGAAACAGGGGATGCAGGTGGTGAGACGGCGCACAGGCGCATACACATACACAAGCAGAAGCAAATAAAGAAAGCTACAACCAGACACGAACAAGAGGTGCAAATCCGACCAAATGACATGGGAAGGAAAATGACTTCAAATCCCAACCGAGAATGAGGTTAAGTCACGAAACAACGAACTCACAGCCCCACATATGGAGCCTGGGTGACATACAAAAAAGAGAAAACAGGGGGGAGGGGAAGACAAAATAGAAAGACACGCAGGCATGAAGTCAAGGGAGGAGCAGCAGACACCAGCAATGGAAGCAGATACTAGGGCTCCCTTACCGTCTGGATTGGAGCCAGCACCCATTGCCCATCCGCAAGCCTGAAGCCAACGCGCAAACGGTACAAACCCTGACCCTGTGACCCCCTGCCTGAACCCCTACCGTAGCTTTGAATCCCCTCAACACTACGCAGATCAAAGAGTGCAGGAGTAATCAGACTATAAACAGAGATGCAGGCGGTCAACTGGACAGGTAGCTTCCACCTGCTGCACCTGCCAGCAAAACAACACGCAGCCCCTATCCCAACCAAACACCCCAAAAGCAGAACCGTCGGCGGAGCTGAGCAGCAACAGCAAGCGTAGCAAGTACATGTACAGCAGCAGCAGCAGCAGTATGCGGCACCTGAAGAGCTGCAGTTAACAGCCCCAAGGGCAAGGTTGGCACGGGCAGTATCCCCGGAGGCAGATGTAAAGACACTTCTGGGCGTCCCATCAGCAGCGCGCCATGCAAAAATGTGAGCAACTGCAGCTGTAGTCCTTCATTGTTGCTGTATGCTTTGAACTGATGAAGCAGCTGCTCGTACACTTGAGAGCACCGGAGCTCGCCCCCGCTGCTGCTAGTGCTGCTGTTGCTGCTGTCACTCTGCATAATAATGCGGCGCAGATACGCCACGTTGCCGTAGTTCGGCAGGTCGGAGAAGTCAAAGAAACTATCGTGCAGGGGCTGCTCTTGCTGCTCCTCGCGGCCGCATGACTGCAGCAGCAGCAGCATCTTCAACAGTCTGCTGCTCCAGAGACTGCGGTTGCTCTGAAACATAAACATGCAGCAGCCACACGTTGACAGCTGGCGATGCCGTTGCTGTTTCTGCTGCTCTTCTTGCAAAGTCCCGTGCCAGAGCAACAGCAGCAGCCACGTGCGGACCGACTGAGCCTATAGACTACATTGAACAGAGCAGCAAAAACAGCACAGCAAGTGGATGCATTTGCTGACCTGCGCTAAAAGCAGCAGAAAAGGTCTCTGCAGCTCCCTATATGGCAATTTCAGCTGCCCATGTTGTTCTTGTTGTGCCTCCTGCTCCTGTCCTCGCTCCAGAAACTCCTGCTGCTCAGCGCTACGGTTGATCATTGCCTTAGCCACACTTAGAGCCCCAACTTGCACGCAGTTTGTTACGGCTTCGAACAGTGGAGCTGTGAGCGCAGTCTCCACAAGGGTTTCTGTCGCTTGCAGCTGCACTAGCACCTGCTCCAGCTGAAGCTGTTGCTGCTGCTGCTGTAGCAGCACTTTCTGCTGCTGCAAGGCAGTGTGACGGTTAACCAGCACTTTCATAAGGGGCTGTGGGACAAGCAACTCCTCCACCAAGCCTGATAGAGCCTCTCGGAAGTCAGCTGGAGATACGCGGGAATGTATTCGCAGCAACAACTTCAGCACAGCGCAGCAGCGCGCAGCAACAATAGCAAGGGCTGCTGCTGCTTCTTGATCTTTGTTTGCTGCTGCTGCTGCCACTGCAGCAGCAAACGGACCCGTGGTGATAAGCCATCGTAAGAGGCGCGACAGATGACTGAATTGCTGCAGTATCTGCTGGAGTTGCTGCTGCGTGACGGCAGAGTCGTAGGGTGCAGCGCCGTCGGCCCCTAGAACCTGAACAGCCACCTGCCGCCGCTGCTCGAGTGGCTGTCGCTGCCCTTGCTGCTCCTCCTGCTGGTCCGGTTCAAATATACATGCACGGATAGCCCCCTGCAGCGACGCAGCCAAAAGAGCTAGGAGCCCGTCAGCCTCCTGGACTTGGGATAGGTAGGTGGAACTCGCTGCTGCAGCCACAGATGCAACTGCTGCTGCGCTTGCATTTGCTGCGCCCGCTGCTGGTTGTGCTGCCAGCTTCTCTAAAGAGGCACTCGCCGCGAAAATGGTGCGAAGCAGAAAGGCCGGCCCCAGCAGCCCCTGCGCCAGCCAGTCTTCCAGCAACGCCACTGCGGCGTCGCGTAGGGGCCTCGTCCCCTCTTCAACGCAGCCGAGATCTCCGTACAGCTCCTCAGGCCGTAGCAGGAAGTCAACGGACTGCATCACAGAGAGGCAACAGTTAGGCAAAGAGTGATAAGCACACCGCAACAGGCACGAACACCGAAAACAATGCAGGGAAGAAAACATAAGATCGACAGAAGCCGATGCGGCTACCTTCTACCTATAGGTGATTCCAGCAAAGCCGACGCTGCTGCTGCTGTGGGCGCTGCTTTTGGTGCTGCAAATGTACGGTGGCACTGGGCAATGTACCGGGAAGTCTACAAGAAGAGCCGCAGGGGAGTTGTCTTGGGGATCAGTATCATCAGCAGGACATGAAACACCATCAGCAGCAGCAGAGCTCTTACCTCGCTGACGCCTGCCCTGAATACTGCGGGAGCAATGTCCTGCATGAGGCTCTGCAGCCCCCCGACGGACGCAAAGAAAGTACGGAGGTCTTCAGATACTTGGGACTTGAGAAGCCTTGCCTCTTCCTGCTCTGACGCTGCTACTGCTGCTGCTGCTGACCGAGGACCCTCCACCTCTCCCGCCTGCCTGCTGCCGGTGTCCAGCAGGAAGCTCATAGAGCCCCGCACAGCACTCGCTATCAGTTCAAGAGGGAGAGACAGCAGCGGCGAGTCCGTTTCCTGCTCCACGAAGGTGTGGCAGCTGAAGAACTGCAGCAGTGCAAATGCAATATGCAAGTAGCAGTAGTAGCAGCAGAAAGAAGACACCCAACCGAGCAACTTACTGGCAGCAGCAAATGCGCGCGCGACAGCTGGAAAAGCAGCAGGAACAAAGCTATCAACAGCAGCAGCAGCAGCAGTAGCAGCGACAAACGAACCTTGTTTTGCTGGACGGCCGCTAGCAGTAGCTTCGACATAGAGCCAGGCCCCATCTTTGCGAAGGCCCAGGGTTGTCGGTCCGCTACCTCAGCGAAGCCTACGCCAGCAGCAACAGCAACAGTATCACCATCAGGCAGGAGTATTCTCACTCCAGCGCAGGCACAAACCTACTCGGGGATGCTAACAGCGCTGGGAAGGCATGCTAACGGCCCCAAAAACAGCAGCACTACTGCAGCTGATCGGAGCACTACTGCCGTTGCTACTGAAAGATTTGCTACTGCTGCTGTGATCCCTTGCCTCTAAGAAGAACTTTAAAAAGCTTGAACGCAGCCCTCGCTGAGTAAGGAGTTCCGCCCCCCGACAGTTGCTGCTGCTGCAGCAACAGCAGCACCAATTCATGAAGCTCCTGTAAAGCCGTTACGTCTCCCACATCCTGCGATGCCCTGCCAGCCCTGGCTTCACACATGAGCAGCGAGCTCGAAATATGGGCCAACACCTGCAGCAGCAAGCAAAGCACCACCAGCTGCGGCAGTAAGGCCAGGGAACAGATGCACTGTAAGCAGCAGGGGCGACGAGGGCCCCGGAGCAATAGGGGTTAGGCAAGGGCCTCACCTTTGCCATGTCTTCCCAGGTTTCACTGTGTGCGTAGATTTCGCGCTGCATGCGTTCTACTTGCTCCTGCAACCACTGAACCTCCTGCTGCTGCTGGTGCTGTTGCTGTGGCGGCGACTGCGGGCCCCCTTCACGGCTGTACCCCAACTGCTTGTCCAGGCGCTGCTGCAGCTGCTGCTGCTCCCCTAGAAGCTGGATATTAACCCTAACCAGCGGCAACACACGGCCCGCAAGAGCTGCCACGAGCTGACTAAGAAAAGGCAGCAGCGTCGTGCAGACGGCGAAGAACAACTGGCCCCCACCAATCCTTACAGTCACCAGCTCCTGCAGCGGCGATAGTAGCAGCAACAGCAGCAGCAAAAGAGGCAGCAAGCAAGGCAGCAGCAGGCGCATCGGGTTAGCTGTAAGTAAACTGGTGCAGAGGGGTGGACTACCGAAGGACGCAGAAGCATCAGCCTCAATGAAAAAGAAGGAAAACAACGAGGGATACCAATGAGACAGCGAGTGGACCAAGACAGATAAAAGGAAATTCACAGGTTTATGCAGGTTCAGAGCCTATCGTTTTAAACTACGCTTGACGGGGAAAGCTGGGCAGATGCAGATGGAGAGGCCAAGTACTGAAACGGCCTGCCGGAGTTCTTCTGCTGTGTTGTGGTTACCTTCAGGAGCTGCTTTAGGAGGTGCGCGTACAGAGCAGTGTCCGCATCATCTCGTTGTGCTGCTCTCAGCAGTCGTACGATCGTTGTCTCAAGCACCAGCAGCAACAGTGCCCCATCCGTTGCTGCCGCCTCGCGCACCGTCTGCTGGAGCTGCAGTGGCTGTGTCCCACAACCAAGAGGCAAGACGCTTCCCCAGGAAGAGCTGCAGCTGCTGTAGCTATTTAACGTTTCCTGTACTGACTGCTGCGACAGCACTTGCTGCAGCCTGGCTACTGTTGCACTCGTTGCTGCTGTCGTTGCTGCAGCCCTCGCCAGGCGCCGCAGCAGCGCCACGTACACCTTGAGCATGCGCGAACAACGTGGGGCGCCCACTACCTTGTACAGACACACCAGCAATGCCTGTACAAATGCCAGTTCCCCCTTTAGCACATCATCAGCAGCATCAGAGCCTCGTGCCTACGAAGCCGCACAAGCAAGCAAGTCAAAGCAGATGCAATGCACAAGCGTGCAAATCGAACGACGTACGGGGTCCCCGTTGATGCGCTTTACTAGCAATGGCTGTAGAATAAGTTAGTTCCTAGCCATCGTCTTATTTCAAAGCCACTGCTGGTAAAGCATCGGAATAAGGTGATGCTTAGCCCTTGCTACAGTTATCGTTGCTGCACCTGCTCCTGACTCATCGCCTGCTGCTGCTGCTGTTCCGTCAGTCCCACAGCCTTCTGCAGGGCGCTGCCCCTGCTGCTGTCAGAGGGGCTGCAGCTGCTACTGCTCACCGTAGATCTGCTTTGGAGTGCTCCCTTAAGCAGGACCAGCGCAGCAAAGGGGGCTTCCGGGTCGTGGGGCACTGGCGGTTGCAGCTTTCCAGTGAGCTGTACCAGCTGGTCTGCTGCTGCTGCTGCTCCCTTTGTTGCGACTGCTGCTGCTGCGGCGGCAGTTGCCGTACAGCGTAAGTAGCACTGCAGAAGTAATGTGAGGTAGCCTGGGGATCCCTGGAACGCCATCAAAGACACCTCGGCCTGCTGACGCTGTGCTGGCGATGCGGCGTCTGTGCACAGGAGCATAATACAATTTGTCGCGAATTCCTGTGTCCTAGAGTCCCCCAGTGAGGGGCTAGCAGCTTTGGCTGCATCTCCGCCGGATGCAGCAGCAGCAGTACGTGCTGCTCCAGTATGTGTTTCACAAAGGAGAACCAACTGCTGTTGGCATGCCTCTATCGACTCCAGCAGGTAGTACAGCTCAAGCTGCCAGGCCTCTGCATTTGGGTCTGGGCCCGATACAATCTGCTGCCGTTGTTGTTGTTGCTCCTGATGCTGCTGCCGCCTTAGAGCAGCGTCTTCTGGCATGCCATTATCTTCCATCGCTGTTGCCTCACGGGCTCAAAATTAGCTGGGTGGAATAGGCTATATCGCTACAGAAACACCGCGGTGCTATGGTGCTAAACACACGAGAGCGAATTGTAAATGCTCTCGTGAAGGGCGGGGACCGTGGGGGCCCCCGTGTCTGTGCAACTGGGGGCCCCCGTCCTCCGCCTTTCCCTCTCTGTTGCCTTTTCCCTTCTTGCCTTCTAAAACGAAATTTGCTGCAGGTTGCCTTTCATCCCACAAAGTTGCCGCTGGAGTCTCTCTCAACACAAACACACAAACACAAGAGAAAACGGGGAGGGAGACTGTTACGGTCGGTAAGCTAAGAATGAGGCGAGACCGGGGACAAAGGGAAGACAAATGACACACTTCAACAAAACAAACAAAAAAGGCCGTACAAAGTAGTGGAAGAAGACCAAAGTAATACACCTCCTTCGTGGACACTGGGGCTCAGCTACATGCGCATGCACGAAAAAGGACGCTCACAAGGCATGCAATGTTCATTGATGAATTCCATTAGCACAGCAAGTTTAAGTGTAAGGTAAAACCTCTGTATCGGCCAGTATTGTAACGTGTAGTGCTACTCAGAGAGGAGCAGGCTACTCAACGGCCTGCGCTGGACCCACGAGTAACGGAGTTTGAACATGTGTCCAATTATCCACCCCGCAAAGTACAATCCAGCTGGCTCAAAAGAGCGTATGTATATCACAGCTGCATGGCGTTCTCTTTTTAGCTGTCACTGGCTTGAATATCGTTACAAATGCAACGCGGTACTCGAAGTGTAGCAGGGTCGGTTTAAAGGAATTGCTCGGCCGTCCATGTGTATATGCCAGCTGTTGGAAGCCAAATAAGCGTTTAGCAGTTGAATACAGTTTTCTCGTGCACACTGCTGCTGCTCGATGGTATCGCCAACGCAGGAGGATTTACAACAGAGGATGCTGGCCTCCTGGACATTACAACTCCTCCGCGGAGCAGCAGCAGGATCTTGTGCCGCTATACTGGGGATGCCTGCAAACAGCAGTATAGGAATGTAGCCACTTGTGGACATACTAGTGAAGCGCCTTCACGCCGCTGCAGCTCACAAGGACCCTCGGCTGACGCTGCGTGTAGCATGGTCCCTCTGAAGTTGGTGCATGCAAGGTTACTTGCGCGCAAGCTGGCCCCAGAAGGCTAATTTACTGTTAAATAACTGCTTACAGCTTTAGTGCATACGTCATCCGGGAGCTTGGGTGTGTTGTGCAGTAGGGGTTGCATGACCCAATGCTGCAACTCACGACAGGCTGCCTCCTCTCCGTACCAGCCCCAATCCCTTGTCCTGTTGTGCCCAAGACGAATGAAAACTGAAGCATAGGTTAGCTGGTTTTGACGAAATATTGCATTGGGTCTTTTAGTCGTATCGCAGCCCACGATTGCACAATCGTCGCGATGCATCCACGGTGGCCACAGGACCCCGCAGCTGAACAAAACGCACTCTGACTGAGCTCACAAGGCGGGGGTTCACGGTTCTACCACCCCAATATAGCAGCTAGAGCACTACACCTTCAGCGGAATTGTTAGCTCCTGTTCGCCATCACCACCGGTTAAAGAGCGCCAACGCCTGGCATGATATTTCCAACAACATTGGCATCGAAAGACGCCGCCACCGTGAGTAGAGAGTATTCGCCTCTAGCTCAGCGCTCATCGACCGCAACTGTTCAGCCTTAATTCTGTCGCGCTCAAGACAGTCAACCTTGCACGCAGTGTGAGCGGCCTGGAACACCTGGAACAGGCTGTCCACGTCAAATATGTTTACAAGTAAATGTTGCAGCGCCGCCGCACGACCTTGTCGGTTGTGGATCTTCGCAACGTTTATTGACGCAGATTTTGCTAGTTCGAATTTACAGGCACGAGTAGGACCGGCATTTTCGTTTTACTCCTTGCCTTACCGTCTAACTCCTGCTGCATGTAGGCCTCTTGCAGATTGTTCGGGTGCAGCATCTATAGAGGACGGCGCCACGGTTCCGTAGCTCAGCAGGTTAGAGCGTGTGGCTGTTAACCACAAGGTCGCAGGTTCGAACCCTGCCGGTACCGCTTTCTACCGATTTTGCTTGAAGTAGAGATGCGCATCTCGAAGCAATCTGCCGCTCACCCCAGAATTTGGCTTTGGCGACTAGACAAGCACTTTCAAATCTTCCGCAAATCGCCCTCATTCACTCCGGAGAGATGCAAATCTTATTCGAGAGGAAAGGGACAAAATCATCTCCCTATTTTCAAAGTATTTTGACACAGCCATTCTTCAGGACCTCGGCTCGTCCACCTGTGCAAGGCCAAAGGGGACTCCACTCACGCGGTACTGCTGGAACTGGGGGGATCGCGTCGGAAACTTTGCCGGTTGTCCACTTCGGTTGGAAACGCGCGATGGAGATAAGGAGAGGAGGGCGCGTCACGGTTCCGTAGCTCAGCAGGTTAGAGCGTGTGGCTGTTAACCACAAGGTCGCAGGTTCGATCCCTGCCGGNCGGTTCCGTAGCTCAGCAGGTTAGAGCGTGTGGCTGTTAACCACAAGGTCGCAGGTTCGATCCCTGCCGGTACCGCTTTCTACCCGTTTTACGTAGGGTAGTGATGCCCATGATGAAGTAGTCTGCCGTCTACCCCAGAATTCACATTTGGCGACTATGGGAGCACTTTCGAGCATTCTGGTGGTCGCGTTCCTTCTCGTCAAAGACGTGGAGCTCGTAATCAGAAGGAACAAGACGTGCCCATCTCCCTTTAAATGTATTTTAACAAAAGTATTTCTCGCCACTTGAGGTCTTGCACCTGTGCAAGGTCTAGGAAAACTCAACACAGGTGTTACTGATGGATGTGAGGATTTACACTCGAACCACTCTTGTTTGTTCTGCTTGACTGGAAACGCGCGGTGGAAATGAGAAGAGGACCGCGCGCCACGGTTCCGTAGCTCAGTAGGTTAGAGCGTGTGGCTGTTAACCACAAGGTCGCAGGTTCGAACCCTGCCGGTACCGCTTTCTACCCATTTTACTTGGGATTGAAACACTCACCTTGAAGCGCTCAGCCGTTTACCTTGATGTTTTCCTCCTGTAACTAAGGTAACACTTGCGAACACTCCTACTGGCGCATTTGTTCTCCCCGGAGGCGCCGTAACTTAGCCGACAAAATCGAGAATCAATCAGGTGCTTAAAGGAAAAGCGTACTTTACAATCTGTTTTCTTCCAATTATGACACTTGATAACAACAGCTACTATACTATACTCCAGAGGGCAGTCACCTGGGCTCTTCACTCTGAGCCAAACCGCTTCATGCTCTATATCGCACCATAAATTGCGAGTGACTTTCTACGGGCATCTGGAACTCGCACTGACTCCGGATTGCTGGTGGCTACGAGTGTAGAACGCCATTTTCCGCGACGCACTGGCCCCGCTTGCTCGTCACGCGGTGCGTCGATATTGGAATTTTTTGTCGAAAGGGTTGAAACGCGTCTGACGGTGAGATATGCCGATGCGCTGAACCTGTTTTGTTCCGTACAACAAGCGTCAGCAGACCTGAAGGCCTCGCAATATACGTGTCGTACCGGAGTTGTTGCCCAATACCCAATGTAGTCAATGAGCAGTGGAAGGCCACAAGGGTCGACTGGTGTGTGAATGGTTGAGTCATCATTTGCTACGTATTAAATACGGTAGGACAGCGAGCCCTATCCATCTTGCCGTGACGTGGGCAGTCGCGGGGGTGACTTGGGGGGCCCAATGCATCGAATGCTTGACAAATTTCGAGCGAGACAGTGCATGTCATCAGGTTGTCTTCCAGAGCATCCCCGGCTCGACTTATCTCGGCATTGCGATGTCACCCACCGGCCATTAGATGGCGCCTTATCCATTCGTCTTCGGGAGGCTCCTGTGGAGTTCCCAGAAGGTATAGAGGCCCCAGAGACTCTACAGAGACCGAAGGAAGCATGCAGCGGATACAAAGGAATGATACGCTTCACAAACAGTTTCACGATAGCTTTAGTCATCCCCTTTCAATCAATCAGTATCGCTATCTCACGACGGCGTAATCCTTGGCACGCTCTGGGTCGCTCAGTGGAGGTTACTCATGCGACCTCCAGGCGAGACAACTGAACTCCATATGCCCAGAAGCAAAGAGGGAATGCGCCTCGCAGAGCTCCCAAAAAGATTTGCTTCCTCTGCGGGAAGAGAATGGAATAAATATCCCAAGAAGAAAGGATATAGGACGCTTATATACAGTGTGGAGACGACGTAGGAAACAGCGGAGAAATGCATGCACTCCCTCGTGATGGTCCTTGTGATGGTCTCAGGAAACCTTCTGGCGTAGTGAAAGCCGTCGATCTTATTCGAAAACAGTGCGGGCCGCAATAGAGTGGGAATACTCACCATAAGAGTTTCGAAAAAGCGGCTCTCCAGCGAGCGGGCTTCCTAGAACTAGCTTCGGGAAGTCTTTGGGCTGAACGAGAGATCGCGGCCTGACACGAGTTGCAATGCAGTCTGATGCGGCTTGCTCTGAGATGCTGAAGCTCCATGTGCATGCGCAACCAGGCCCTACTGCCACATGCACTAACACTGCCGACAATTTTTGAGCATTTGCTTGGACCTCAGTGACCAGCCTGCGTGCAGGTAGGAATACTCATAAAAACTCCATGCAAACAATGCTACAGTTGTGTTTGGGGTTTCGCTTTAGTTAAAAACCAAGGAGCAGCACAACTGGGCGCAATTGAATCAAGAGCTTTCGGATGTACTAAATAAGAAGGCGCTTCCACGGGGCTACCTACTCGCTGGATGCCCAATGCATCGAATCGAACTCTCTCCCGGAGCAGCCCAAGCATTTTGCAGCGGTACTTCCGCATCTTGACGTGGAAAGCAAAAGCAAGCTGACGAAATACTAAGGAAAGGCAGAAGTCAAAATCCCATACTGACGAAGAAACAAGACAGGATGTGATGCGTGTGCATCAACTTCAACCCTCTAAACGAAGATGCAAACAAGTAGCTTCTGGGGAGTTTATGTTTCTGCGGAGGGTGTAGACCAATACCAGGCGAAGATAGAGCTCACTTGCATAACTGTCCAAAGTTGGTACGTCGTTTGGCGCACGCTACATACGGATGGCCAAGTAAGCGCCCAACAGTTGTCTGCGTTAGTGCATGCAGCAAAGGGAGTATGGTTGTGCTTGCAAGCCGGGTCGTCATGCTTTACTATTTGCACCGAGGTGCATTCCACTGCATGGGACCTCTCCTTTACGCAGCAACCCCAGGCTCTTGAGCTGTTTTGTGCGATGCCCCTGGGGGCTGGAGGGGAGGTTATGTGCTTTGGGGGGAAGTATTACCACAAATCTTTGACTATGCTGCTGTTCGCGATTGCCTTCGGCTAAGAGCACGAATGCTAGCCGCACGTGGAAGAACGTGGGGCCGAAGCGTCCAAGGATATCTGCTATGAAGTATCTACTTGGCTCATATTTATTTCAGAACGCATCTTTATCTTCAACAGAGTCAGGCTTCTTGAGTGTTAAGGAAGCATCTAGTAGCCAAGGTGCTCTTCCCGGTTCCCCGTTTCTCTTGTGCGCACGAACCTTCGCCCCCCCTTTGTTTCCTCTAGGCTACCCCTAGTGCGCAGAAGTGATGTTAGTGTGGAGTAATGTGTTTGGTAATGAGCAAATTTCGCCATACAGACTCAGTCCTAAGATCTCTGCGCCATAATGGGAAAACCCTCGGCCTTATTCAAGGGCTGTCCCGTGCTGCACTGAAGCCAGCTTCATTGCAGTACGCGACAGCCCTTGAAGGCGTTTGGTAGGGTTTCCTAAAAGCGGCTCACCCCACTCCCGTGTCCCCAGGCATCCTGGATCCACCAACTCAGGGCCCAGTCCTACGGAGGATGACACAGCCTGCCATGAGCTGCAGCGCCCCTCGTCGCAGCTACTGATGCAAGACAGCCTCACATATGAGCGCAACCAGGCTCTCTTTGCTGCATGCTTTATCTCTTTAGACACTTGTTGTGAATTTCTACCTGCTTGCAGGTAGTCTACCAAGGCCAAGTGAATATTCCTTTGCTAACTTCGGGCGACCAACGCTAGCAGTGCTGCTGGCTGCTACGAAGCAAAAATGGCGACAGCTTAGGTGCAGACTCTGGTCAGACCGTGAAGCGGGTTCTCGTTGCATGTGACAGCATATAATATATTGATTTGAGGGGTCTCAATCTCTCAACTACAAGTGAAGTTCCCGTCGTAGAGCGTTCCGGCTCTATTCACGCAGTCTCATCCAGCCCCAATCACTGCCACATGTGCCTTGTTCACACTGGGCGCGGACCAATCCCTACGACGGCGAATAATTGAGCTTTATTTTGTGTTTAAATCATTTGTCTACTGTAATAGGTGTCTTTTCTCTCAAAATCCCGGCACTTTGTTGTGCCAGGCCTCCCACCCCCAGCCTCCCACTGCTCGTTGTTTTTTTGTCCCCAATCGGCCACCGTAGGGGCCCTCAGCTCCGCCTCCTCTCCTGCCACCTAGACTTGTGCCATTTCTCGTGTCGGGGCCCCTTCTTGCATCCACAGGGGCCCCCTACCTGCAGAGATGGACGGGAACTTCCAAGCGCCCCATGGCGCCTCAGCGAGCCTTTCTGGAGGGCCCCCTCCCCTCCCAGGCGGTCCTCCATCAGTAGGAAGTCTCCCTTCTGGCGCTTTTCCAGGGCCCCCCAACGCGGGGGGATCCCTGCCTCCTCTGCTGCCTGGCTTACCGTACCCACCTCAAGCCTTACTGAGTGGCCCAGGGGGGCCAGGGTTGCCGCCCCCTGTATTGGGCCCCCCGCCTGCAATGGGTCCAGGCTCTGGTGGCGGGGAAGAGGGTGGGGGTCCGTCTGGGGGCGCTCCGTCATGGACTTTAGAAGGTCGGGGTCGTACAGAGGGTCCCCCACGGCAAAGCTCAACGGGGGGCCGCAATTTGTACATCCACAACGTGTCTAAGGAGGCACGAGAGGCGGACGTGAGAGCTTTTTTCTCTCAGTGTGGCGAAGTCGAAAGTGTTGCCCTTAGGGTCAACCAGCGGGTGGGGCCGAATGCCGTCTACGCCTTCGTCCTCTACAAAAACGCAGAGGACGCCAGACGATGCTTCGAAACCCTCAACGGAAAAACATTTAGTGAGGAGACAACAACACGTGCATGAACTTCAAAGTAGCTAATGGGCCAGCAAGAGCTTGTTGTGGTTGCACTCTTTTTCGTGAGTTGTCGTGTTGTTTCACATCATCGTCTCTGAGTCGTCGGATTGCACATAGAGGTTGTCGATTTCCTAACTGGGTGCGTGGCTCCGTTGATGGCATGTGATGTCCATGTCCTTTTTTTGTTTCTGTGTGTGCTGCTGCGAGGGCGCAGTGGGCCGCTGTGTCCGCGTAGAGTACCAACGGGGACGCGCGGGAGGCCGCAATCCTCCAGTAGACGACGCGGGCTCGGAGGCGGGCAGCGAGGCGCATGCTGCTGCTGTTGCTGGAGGGAACGCCAACAGCAGCAGGCGGCCCAATAGGGGCAAGCAGCACGAGAGGGGCGGGAACCGAAGCGACAGAGATTGGGACAGAAGAGGCAGACAGCCCATGAGGCCGGTGGTAAGGGCCCGGAAACCCACACGCCCTAAACTGTAGGAATCATCGACGTCTGATCAATTAACTCCATCGCCTTCAGGGTTAAGAATGAGATGGGGATGGTGGATTTGATCTGAAATCGGTACTAGGATTTATAGTATAGGGACTATGGGTTAGGTTTTGTGTGCAGGACGACGAGCGGCGGGATGGGGATCCGCGTATACGGGACTGGGGTCACGACGAGGATGCGGTAAGCAACCTAACGGTGAACACTTGCCAAGGCGTCTTCGATGCTCTGTGGAGTCCTCAGGCTGTTGCTAGGGTATTCAGGCGAGCGTAGAGTCTAGCAGTCTGGGTGTATACGCAGCTGCATGTGCATGTCGTTTTGGGGTTTTGTTTGTTCCAATTCCAGCCATGCGAACTGAGTCTGTACTCGTGTAAAACGGAACTCGAGGCCTTGAGCCCGTTGCTTGCTTCCTTGTCACTGCATCTCACAAGGGGGAGCAAGGCATGCATAGTGCTTGTACAGTGCAGGTGCATTTGAGCAGTATTTTAACGAATTACCCCGCGAGAGCCTGCTTCGGCAGTGGAAAAAACAGAAGGCGCGCCTGATGACGCATACACAGGCCAACCGTATCCTCCACGTGGTTTGCTGTTGCTTTTTTGCTGCTGCAGATGTATCGTAGGGACGGCCACAATGGTCTTATGCTTCCGCCACAGCCACAGCCGCCGCCGCAGCAACAGCAACAGCCGCCGCCGGAGCAACCGCAGCAGCAACTGGAGATTCCGGTGGCTCGCGAACCGCTCTTGTTGTTCCCTCTGCTGCAGCAGCACCGGGCCCGGCAGGGCTTCCCTTTCCTCAAGGATTTCTCTTCTTCTCCTACTGCTGCTCCTGCTGCGACGTCGGGCCTCCCTGCAGCCCCAGCAGGAACTGGGGCCCCGGGCTGTGGCGCGGGCGCGCAGTGGAGGTGGACTTTGGGACGCAATGACCGCAAGAAGGTTGCGGTTACGGCCCTTTGTCTACAGGGGGAGGTCCCACTGGAGATGCAACAGGTATGAACTCTGCTGCTGCCGCTGCTCCCGTCGCTGCTGCTGGCCAGTCTTGGTTTTATGGTCTCCCTTTTCCTCTTATAGACTTGTATACAGCCTCCATCGTAGATGCGAAGCGCCGGCTTTAGGGTTTAGGGTTTAGGCCTCGGGGTACGTCTGCGCGCAGCTGCAAAGCATGTTGAACGTCAGCCACCGAAGCAAGTGCGAGGAGTTGGCCCTCAAGCCCATGGATGCGGCGGTGTTGCTCCAACCGGCATCACCCGAGAACGAAGCTTCCTTCAATGAATATCTGTCATACTTTAGATCCAAAGAGCGGGTAAGGAGTCGTCTTCGTTGCTACTGACGCCGCTGCTCATTTTTTTATTGCTGCTGTTCCTTATTGGATGCCCCCTTTGCTGCCGCTGCAGAACCTGCATACTCATTTGCTGTAGCCAGTGCAGATGCTGGAACGAATGTGCTGCTGCTTTATAACCGTTCTTAAAGGCTTATTGCTGCTGCTTCGAGCGCATCGACTGTAGGCGCTGCTGTCAGAAGATGCTGCTGCTGCTTTTAGTTGCGTTGCAGCTTGGTGTCTCTGTTGCCATTCTTTCGTTGCTTCAGGCTGGCGTTGCTTGCCTTCCCGGTGGCGTGTTCCTGTATTTTGTCCCCCCCGGGTTCCAGGTATTCGACAAGTACAGATACCTCTTCCCGCAGCACCTCAGGAACAGCAATTCAGTGTACGTCTGCTGCTCCCCTTGTTGCAGCAGCGCTGCTATGGAGCCGTGTTACAATTGCCTCTCCTCTGTTCATTGTTTCTCCCTTTCCAGCCGTTGCTGCTTGGACGCTTGTTAGCATCGCCCGAAAAAAATATTTGGTGTAGAGTTACCACCAGCAGCAGAAAATACACCCTTTTCTGCCTTTCTGCTTTGCTTGTGTGTTCAGAATGATTGGGCTTCTTGGGCCTTCCCCCCAGTCGGTAACTGCAACGACAGCGCCGCATACAGCACCGGAACAGCAACAACAGCCCCAGCAGCAGTGGCAGCAGCAGCAGTTGCCGGGGTCTACACCGCAACAGTCGTGGCCGCAGCAGCAACCTTGGCAGCCGCAGCAGCAGCAGCAGCCGCAGCAGCAGCAGCAACCGTCATGGCAGCAGCCGCAGCCCCAGCAAGGCTGGGGGCAGCAACAGCAGCAACCTTCGCAAGTTAAACAGCAGTTTGGAATGACTCAGTCGTGGCAGCAGCAGCCACTTCAACAGCCGCAGCAACAGCAGCAGCCGCAACAATGGTCGCCAGATCCTCTGCAGCAGCAGCAACAGCAAGTGCCTCCAATGCAGCAGCAACAGCAAGTACCTCCAATGCAGCAGCAACAGCAGCCGTGGCAGCAGCAACAGCAGCAACCGCAGTCTTGGCACCAACAGCCGCAGCAGCAGCAAAGTGGCACTCCTCAGAACAGCTTGCCGGAGCAGCAGCAGCAGCAGCAGCAAGAGGGGCCAACGGGAGGCATTAGCTGGATGCAGCAGCTAAGCAACATGGCCGCCTTCTTAGGCGCCAAAAAGTGAAGTACATATATTTGCGGTTGCTGTTGTTGCTGCAGCAAAGGCAGGAGTAAGTGTAGAAGCATTTGGAGCAGCTTGTGCTGCTTGCACGTGCTGCTTCTGCCTCTGCTGCAGCACCGCGTTGGTGGGTGAGAGGCCCAGTTAACGCGTAGGCGGCTTAGTTAAGCGGCAACTTGAGCCGTGGCTAGCAGGTAGCTAGCCACTACTCGTCAGGCCGTGACAGTTTGTCTTTTTGATCTCTGCCGGCCCACATGTGGCATCAGTTGCCGCAGCAGCACCAGAAGCAACAGCAGCAACAGCAGCAACAGCAGTCGCCATTGCTGGCACTGGTGTTGGCTGCAGTTTGGCACCGTGTGCCCAACGATTTGCGCCTTTGGCTGTCCACGGCTTGTAGGAGTCGTCCTACGAAGGCGTTTGGAAGGAAAGGGATCAAATTTAATGAGCGCTGACGACTTCTTTGTATGAGGCGAGAGTGGCAGTGGTGCTCCAGCTGCAACACGTCATGTAGAACTACGCAACGAGAGCGAACAGAAAGAGTTCAGACAGATAAGTACAAATAGGCAGAAACAAAAGGGTAGAGGAAGAATCAGGCAGAAGAGGCAGCTAGATACAGAACGGGACGACGGTCCAAAATATGGACGCACAGGTGACTCTCTCAACGGCAGACAGAGACAGAGCCAGACTGGAGGCCGCACCGCCTATGCCAGAGCCCAACTCACGAAACTGCATTCCCCTATATATACCCCGCTTCTTCCAATAAGAGCATAAATAATAACACGGCAGCTTTCAATACGCCTTGGCGCCAGTTAAGCGGTGTGTACTTTGGGGTAGATATTTCGTGTTGAAATCTGCTACAGGCCTCTCCTCTGACCGCAGTTGCATGGGCGGTGATATTTGTCGGTCTCTCTTCGTTTCTACCGTTTCCCCTATTTTGCAGATGTCCTGCTCTCTCCCGCCTCCAGTCTAGTTGTTTTTCTGTTGGTGTATCATATCTCATCCTGTTTCTATTTTCTCCTGGCTTGTTTTTTTCTGTCAATTAGTGTATGCCTCTGGCTTCGTCTGCTGATGTGTGTGCCCTCCCCTAAAGTACGTGACAAACAAGAGCTGAACTGTCTTCCCTAGCTTTTCTGTCTCCTTTTTGTAGTGACAAGGAAGGAGTTGTTCGCCTCAAGTGTCAAAACGCCGCCGGCGCCGGCAGCAACGGTCTCCAGCAGACCGCTGTACCAGCGCCTATCTGTTTTCACAGTTATTGCTGCTGCGGGGTACAGCCCGTTGGTTTGCCACTGAGGCCCCCCGCGGCAGCCTGCAGCTCCACAGTGCCCCTTCGGGCAATTTGGTGTCTTGGTTGGATGGGGTGGGGAGGGGGGGTTGGGAGGGGTGGAAGGAACGGAGGTATGCGTGTCAGCAGCTGACTCTTTCAAGCAGCACCGCCCAGTTGTTTGTGTCGTTGTAGCAGTCAAGGACTTTCAAGCGTTTCTCTTTGGCGCACAGCCCCAACAGCTCCTCTCGACTGAACACTCTGTAGTAACGATAGAATGTCTCTTCCCTCTCCGAAGAGGCGGACGCAGTCGGTCCAGCAGCCGCCGCAGTTTCCCCAGCAGCTGACCCTGGTTCAGCGTCTCCTGCTGCGCTGCCGTCGCTCTTCGATAACTCGCGAGCCCGCTCGTAGTGCGTTTGATACACCCAAGGCACCAACACTGCAGCAACAGCAGCGGCAGCAACAACACGACACCCCGTGACTCACTGTAGATACGCTCATACACAGCAATCGCGGCCAGCGACAACAGCAAAACTGGCAGCAGCAGCAGCGGGAAAACGAAAACGGCAACAGCAGCAGCAGCAGCAACAGACTCTGACCGTCTTGGCTGGGGAACTTGCGCTCTCCGACACTCCCCGCCTCGTGCTCCAGAGCCCTGAAGATCCGCAGCCACATGAACGAGCTTATTGTACACGCAACAGCATCAAACTTAGCTTGAGGCAAAATCTAAGGCGTAGGGTTCAGCGTTTACGACTAGGGTTTGAATTAGCGCTAGGGTTTACAGTAAGGAGATTGTGTTGGGGTTGGAATCTACGGTTTAGGTCAGAGTGCCTCTCACCACACGTATATTAAAATGCGGCCGCCAGGGCGCGTTATGCGCGCCAGCTCCCCCAAGGCTTGCTGTCTGTACACACGGCCACAAGACGCAAAGGCGGCAACTCCTGCTGCTGCACCCATGGCACTCACAATAATGATACACAACCACACAATTACTCTACGCAGTACTACCGCGGATGCTCCTAGATGGTAACAGCAACAACTAGAGCAGCTACAGGAGCAGCAACCGCGCCAGCAAGATCAGCAACAGCCACTGCTGCAGCAACGCAACAGGGGGAGCAACAGCAAAAGTCAAGCGCCGCGCAGCACAATATCCGCCGCCCCAGCACCAATATCTGGATCGCGGTTGGAGCAACAGCGTAGACGCCCGCAGGAGGTACACTTTGGAGCAACCGCGGCAGCAGCAACAGCAGCATCAGCAGCGGCAGCGAGAGCAGCAGCAGAATATCATACCTTCTCGCCTCGGTGGTTAAGTGGTGGAGCACAGCAATGCAGATGACGCCGTCGGCGACTTCTGAGGGTTCACGCATACACACAATGAATGTCCCGCATGTCTCAGGTGAGTTCCAAACCGTAAAACCTAAACCTTAAACTCTAAGTGCTAAACCCTCACCGTCTCTTATGCAGGTGTTTAGGCAGTCTGCCTGCAGTATACGGGGCCCCAAGGCGCCCTGCGGGTGCGCTGACGCGCAGTGCAGCAGTTCTCGGGACCTGTCGATGCCTATGGACAAGCAGCTATAGGGACTGGAGCTGTTGCTACCGCTGCTGCCGCCGTCGCCATCGCTGCTGCTGCTGCTGGTCCATTTGGGTCTGCAGTGGAGGTACTTGCCATTGCCGCACCCTACGTCCACCAAGATGGCGTCGGGCGGCAGAGATTCGATGAAGGCAGCGACGCGGGGCCAGGGGCGGTGTCTGTGCATACACCACACCGAAGTGCACTCGTCAATTTGAATGCGTCCAATTCGCTTGTGTTTTCGTTATCTTCTATTAAGGGTGTATTTGACTAAAGGTACGCGCAAAGGCGATGCCTCCGCGGGCCTCGTGCATAACGCCTGTCTGCGTGTGCGTTTACCTACTGACCTACTGCACGGTTTAGGCCTTAGGGCTTAGGGTTCTAAGTGTTGAGGTCACTGCTGCTGAACTGGCGTAGCTGCCACGGAGGCTCAGGGTCAAGTGCTTAGGATTTATGGTTCATGGTTTAGCGTCTAACGTCTTGGTGTCGCAGCTAGTGAATTGGAGTAGCTGGCGTTAGGGCTCAGGGGAACGGGTTTGGTGTTTAGGTTCTATGGTTTCAAGTTCTAGGTTTTGGGGTCAGTAGTAGTGAACTAGTGTGGCTGGAGTGAGCGTTTATAGTTTATGGATTAAGGTTTGGTACCTTGTGTGGCTGAAGTGGAGGGCGATTTTCGCGTAGATGGAGTCGACGTGCTGCCTCTCCAGTGCGGCGCCCAGCAGCTCTGGGGGGACAGAGACAGACTCAGGGCGGCAAGTTTTCTTTTGTTGCTGCCGCCGCCTCCGCTGCCGTTCCTGTCGGCGACGCTCACGTTTTTCTTGCTGCTTTTTCTGCTGCTCTTCTTGCTCCTGTTCTTGCTGTGGGTCTTGCTGCTGCTGTTGTTGCTGAAGGGCCCCTTGGACGTCCAACGCCACGGGAGACGCTGAAACGTTAGCATCTGCCATCCTCACGGACTCGGGAGCTCTGCCCAGTGTGCAGCAACAGCGGCAGCAGCAGCAGTAGGCGTTGCATCACGAGCAGGAGCCTCTGCTGTAGCAGCAATGTTTATGAAAGCCAAGGGCCTCGAGTTGTTTGTCCGTCTCTTCGAGAGGGCATAGAAGGACCATGAGGCTAGGCGAGCTTCCCACGGGGAATTGTTGGGGGCCCCTGCAGACCTGCTGCCCCAGCCTTGGGGGCCCCCAGGAGAGGCAGTCTAGTTGCAGCCCACGAAGGCGACGATGTCGATATGAGAGCCGCAAGCTCTCCTCTCTGACAACAGAAATCTAAGTGGAAGGCGCAGATTATCAACTCATAGGCCCACAAGACAGGGGAGCCGGGGGAGCTGTATTTGGGCCCCAAGGGGGCCCCTAGGGCCCCTACGGTCTCCTGGGGGGGGCCCTTGCGTGACCCTGAGTAACACCCGCTACCACTGCAGAAAAGCTGCAGCCGCGGTCATCCAGCACGTCATTTTCATTTTCTCGCCTGAAGCCTCCATCACATTCTCATTGTCTGCCTTATTTCCACTGTCTTGTAGCCGAGACTCCCGGGGGCCCCGGGGGCCCCCCAACGGCTTCATCTGTGCATGGTAATTCCGTGTGCTGAAGTAACTGGCATTATTATTATGTAAACTGATGCATTTGCTACGCTCCTGTGCCGCAGCGGCAGCAGAAACGGCTCCAGAAGAGATCCGCGGGAGCCCGAAGCGACAGACTCGTCGCCCCTCCTTGACTGAGCTGTATCCGCAGCTAAATTCTGTATGTTTGAGAGGATTTGCATTCACCGCTTTTGCAGAGGGTGGGGGGGGGGCCCTGGGCAGACAAACCCCCGCGAACCGTAAATGCCTCTTTCGGCGCCTCTGGAGGCATTAAACGTCTTCGTCGACTTCTTCGGACAGTCAAAGGGGGGCCACCAAGGGCCTCCAAGGGCTGCAGGGGGCCTTCACGGACCCTCATCCCCCCGTCTATGGTGTCAAGCCGCTTCGATTGGAGGCCCAGAAGTCACATGGGGTGCCACTCCTTCAAGAGGAAAGGGGCCTCTCGAGGAGGGGCCCCTCCAAGAGGGGTCTCTTGAGGAATGGCCATGTCTAGATGGCTCCCCCGCTTTTGGATGTGGGTTCTGTGTTCCCAGTCTCTTCGTTCTGACGCATGCACACAGCGACCACATGCGGGGCCTCCGGCCCTCGTGGGGTAAAGACAAATTTGGGGCATCGCTGGCTTCCAGGGGCCCTTCTGGGGGCCCCCCAGGTCCCATTGTTTGCACTGAAATGACGCGCCAACTGCTGCTCCGCATGTATCCCCAGCTGGAACCCTATCTTCTGCCTCTGCAGCTACAAACCCCTTACCTCTTCTACGTCCACAGGGTCTCCATAGACGCTCCTGTGGGGCATCTTTCTGAACCCCCAGGGAAACCTGACCCCAGTGAGCAGCACACACCAAGGGGTCCCCAGTTGCTGTGCGGCAAGGCAGAGAAGGCTACAGAAGGAGGCGGGGGCCATGTGGGGCCTTCAGAGATAGCCATCCAACCTAATGAATGTAAAGAGTTGCAGGCAGCGCATACAGAAAACAGCGGCAGCAAGAGAAGCTCTACTGGGAAACAGCAGACCTGGCCGCAGCTGCTGGTGGAGCGCGCAGCCGCTGCTGTCCGCAGAAGCAGCAGCAGCAGCAGCCCTGGTGGTGGCGGCGTTTGTTGCTGCGGTCGCGCTGTTGATAGGGTGTATATACAACTGGTAGACGCGAGGCACTGTCCGGGTTCAGCCCTGTTGCTGCTGCGTTCCCCTGTTGTTGGCTCTTACGTCCACACTGGAGACTTCTGCTGCAGCGGCACCAACCTGCAGCCGCTGTTGCAGGAAGTGCAGAAAGGGCTGCAGCTGCTTCAGGAGCTTGAGGACCCAGCTGCTGCTGCTGCTACTGCTGCCGCTACACCTGAGCAAGCGAATGACGAAGCCAACACAGGCTCAAATGCTGCGGAAGGCGCTGAGACATCTGAAGGCCTTATGTCCCAGCAGCAACAGCAGCGCCAGCTGCATGTTGACGTGTTGTATTTGGATAGCACTTACCTGCATCCACGTTTCTCTTTTTTGTCTCAGGAAGAAGCTGTAGCAGAGATGAGCCTTAAGGTGAAGGCGGCTGCCAAGAGGATCCGCGGGAATGCTATGACCCGAGGCTCAAGGGGGCCCTCTGAGGTACACTCAGAGGGCTCCGCTGGGCTTCCCCCATCCAGTTTACATGTTGTTGTAGGTGTAGACAAACTGGGAAAGGAGTCTCTACTGCAGCAGCTTGCAACGGCGTTAAAGATTCCCATAGGGCTTTCGGAGGCTCACTTTGACTCTGCTGCTGCTGCTACAGCTGCTGGGTACAATGACTGCTGCGCATACACCACAGAGGCTTTCACGCGGGGGTTCTGTTGTCCGGTCGTCAGAGGCGCCACAGACCATCGGACTGCTTCAAGCAACAGCAGCAGCAGCAACAGCAGCAACAGCAGCAACAGCAGCAGCAACAGAACCAACGCCTGCAGAAAATTCTCCGCATGTGGCTGCCCGTGGGGTGAGGAGACCTCTGTCTGGTTTCCTTCATCGCCACTACGCCAGAAGAAGCAACCGTTGCATCAACAAGATCAACTGGAGCAATTTAATCAAGAGGAAGAGGAGGAGCCATTTGACCTAGGCCAGGCTGCTAGCGCGACTGATGCCGCTGTGTCTCTGTTTGCGGTGCCCCGACGGCAGCTCGTAAAGGTGGTTGAGGCCCTCGAAGCCTCAGGACTGCCAACCTTGGGTCTGCTTCCTTCTGGTGCGCATCTGTCTTCCTGCTTTAAATCTGGGTGGTTTGGGGTTTGTGTAACATTGGAAACCATTTTTTGTTAGTGCGGCGGATTTAAGGTCCACAGACGCCGATTCTTTTTGAGTTGGAGAATACAGACGCACTGATGTTTCCTGCTTAGCGTTCACTATTCCGAGCCTATAGTATATGGCGTCGGGGTTCTTGTCTAGGGTTTTTGTTTAGTGTCTCAAGTTTGAAATTTAGGGTTTAGGGTTCATGGTTTAGTATGCTATGCGTTAATCGTTGTCGTGTGCATAGGTGGCGGCTTGTCTTTTGGCGCTCATTCGTCTATACAGTCGATCCCCATGTCATCTCACTCTTCTTTTTCTTCTCTGCTGGAGTTCGTTAAGGCCCTCAGCCCCCAGAAGGCTGTTCTCCTGGAGCCCTTGCCCATTCCTTCCTGTGGCTGCGCTGCCCTGAGGAGGCCGAGCTCCGAACAAGGGCATCGGGTAGGCGATCTAACCAGCAGCAGCAGCAGCAAGAGCAGCAGCAGCAGCTGGGGAAGCAGCCAGCGCCAGAACCTTACCGATGAAGTAAGAGGATTTATGGTGGAGGCTCCCGAGTCTAGAGATTTGCGGAATCCCCAAAGCGGTGACAACAAGGGAATATTGGATGAACCCGTTGCTTTGCTCCTAGATGACCCCGAAGCGTTAGATACTATCGTATCTGTTAGGGCTCAAGGACTGGATTGTATAGAAACGTCAAGCAGCAGCAGCCACATCGCCCTCTCGACCTTGTATAAGGGCTCCTCTACAAGTACCGCAGGTGTTGCGGCTCGGGCTGCATCAAGGAGGCCTGCAGATGTAATAGACAGCTGCAAAATTTATGGAGCCTTCAAGTATAACGGCATAGAGGGCCTTTCGGTCTTTGTCAGGACTACAGAGGTCCCTATAGTGGTGCTAGGCAGCGGCCGGAGGCCGTTCTGCCCTCATGGCGGCCCCTGCAGGGGCAGCGGGGACCCCTCACCAACGATGGGAGCCATAGGTGGAGCCCCTGAGGACAGAAGCAGAGCCTTGTTATTCTCGGTACAGCCGAAGCGGTTAAAGAGAGGAGCCCCCAGTCTTCCGGCGGTATGCACACGGCACTCAGAGGGTCCTGCAAGGTTCCTCCATGCCCCCGATGCACAGACGAACAGTGCACTTGAGGGTTCAGTTATGCCGCTAAAAAAGGTCAACAGAAAGGGAGCGGTCCTGCGCTTTGCTCTTCCGAAGTAGAGGCCCCACTAGCCTATTTTGCGGGGCCAACCATGCCGCCTTGTAAAGGATGCATAGATCCGTCTAGTTTAATTCAGCCTAAAGAAAGGCTTGGGGCCACTTTGGGGGATATCCGATTCCTGTACACCGCACACTCGAGGCGACAAGGTGGCGTCAGGAAGGCACTCCCCGAGGCAGGTCCAATCATTTGCAGAAGTTGCCCTCAAAAGGTACAGGTCGCAGTACTACAATAGCTGCTGCGATCAGCCAACTTTGTATTGAATAACAGCCATTTTTAGTCCCTACGGAGAGCTCTGGAAAGAAGCGTGGTGATGTCACCCGTTCATCGGATGGCATGGAATTAGTTCGTTCCGGCCTGTCTACATAGTTCTGCAGCTATGATGTGGCTAGCTGTGTGGCTAAGTTCGTAGACGGTTAGTTGCCTAGGTGGCGGTGTGGCACATGTGTCTTAACGTCCGGGGCTTCTAAAAAGGGATCCTGGGGTGACTGTACTAGGAAGTGTTCATCGCTTGTCAGGCCCTTGCTGTAGTTGGGGGCGCCGTAGCCACCGGGTTGAGGCATCATCACCTTAAAGTCCGCTGCAGCGCAAGGCCCAAGAGGGGCCCACATGGGAGAGCGGTGCATGGGAACCCGACCCACCTGTACTAGCAGGACTGAGGGTAAAGCTAGATATGCGTCGTTAGTTTTTAGTGTTTTTTCTGGAAAAAACTCAATTTGTTGGAGAATGCATTTCCTTCTCGGCTCCGTCCCCTCTCTCGGAAGGCCGTGTGTTTCGGGGCCCCTGCTGGTCCAGCCGCTGCAGGGCTGCAGGGATGCAGTGGACCGGCGTGAGTTGTTGTCTGTTCCCTTTCTCCCTTTTTGTTGCACTGTTTTGATTTACATAATTTATAGGCAGCCCGCATTCTTTCCTGCCCTCCCTACTCCATTTTTGAGGCATTTGTCATCCCCTTCACAGTCAGTGACCCTCGCCCTAAGGCCCTTCTTTTCTTCTTGCCGCCGCCCAGATGACAACCCGATCATTGCTTAGACTCCCAGACAAATCCCTTTTGGGATATTGCTGCATTTCTGCCCTCAAAAGGCAGATGAAAGCACGCGGGCCTTTGGGGGGCCCCGTGGGGCCCCCCGCGTCCTCGTGGGGTCCGCCTATCGGGAACGCTGCCAACATTCTCTCCATGCGGCAGAGGCAGAAGATAGATTATGGGGGGGACCCTATAGGGCAGAGAACTTTGCTTCCAGCTGCGGCGGCAGGCGCAGCAGCAGTGGTAACGGCGACAGCGCCAGCAACAGCAGCGGTAGGATATGCAACGCCAGCAGCAGCAACAGCAGCAACAGCCGCTGCAGTACGGGTGAAAACAATAGCATCGAGGCAGCTGAACCCTAGCGATGCATTTAGCAGGTGCACAACGGCCCCAGCTGTCTCGCCGTCATCCTTTCCCCGGTACCCGCACAGCCAGGGGCCCCTCCGCCGCCTGCTGACGACGGCTCCTCCCTCCGCGCCCCCTTCAGTGCCAGCAGCAGCAGGGGCCCCTGAAGGCTCAGAAGAGCCCCAGGGGGAGCCGACAGGGGCCCCTGAGGTCCGCTTTGATTTATCAAGGATTCCGGGAACGGAAAAGGCGCGGGATGGGTTTCTGACTTTGGTATTCACATGCTGCAAATGCAACAAGAGGTCCGCCAAGAAGTTCTCTAAGGTCAGAAAAAACCAGTGACAGGCATAACCACTCAACAACAACAGCACGCAGCAGCAGCAGCCACATGCAGCAGAGGTGGCCACTGCACAGCCGCTAGAGTACAGCAGCAACGAGTACGCTAGCAACGAACGCGGTGACGATGCAGCAGCAACAGCTGCAGCTGCAGTGTCTATGGCAGCAGCGCCCTCAGCGGATTGTGTTTTTTTCCCCTTGTTACTGCTGCAGGTTGCTTACACGCAAGGGGTGGTGATAGTACGGTGCCCCGGCTGCAAGAACCGTAGGTCTTCCCTTAAGTTGTACTTTCCATTTTGCCGGTGCCTGCACGTTTCAACAACAGGATGAGGAGATTCATGCTATGCAGTTACACTAATTAAACTCCGTTTCTTAAAGCGCAGCCTTGCGGATTGAGGCAAAGGGTTTGGGGTGTACGGCGACGGGTTCGTGTGGATGCAGTGCACTTGGTGGCGGATCGTCTCAAGTGGTTTGGAGAAGAGGAAAGTGACGTGGAGACGATTTTGGCTGCGAAAGGAGAGAAAGTGTTGCGGACGTTAACCGGTAAGCAGAAGCTGTCTCTTGGGGACTCGAGTGGGATGCTGAGTAGGGCCCAGGGTAGGCTGTCTAAGTTCAAGGATGTAGAACCTAGTGCTTAGGGTCGTTGTTTGGGATCTGAGATGGGGTCTTCCTTTGCTGCTTGTGTTGTTGCCTCTGGCTGTTACTTGGTCATTTGCAGCTGCCCACGTGCTGGACATTGAGGGGATGGATTCCGACACCCAAGCGGCTGACCCACCAACCCCAAACACAAAACCTTAGTCGCTGAGGAGGGCTGGGAGTTTGGGCTACTTTGGCTGCGTTTGCTGCCGCTCGTTTGACAATTCATTTTTTATATATGTATATGCTTTTTTATATGTATATATTCTTTTATGCATATCTGCATATAGCTGTTTCGTTTTTTGTCTGACTGACTTTTTTCAAGTTGTATGCATTTGGCAGACTTCTGAAACCACGCAATTGCATCCTTTTTTTCCCGGTCAACATGAAAAATTTACGAGCGCAACACGGAGCTATATGGCACAGCCGTCAGCTAGCTAACCGCAGCTAGCAAGCCACAGCCAGCCGACGTATCCTTGCACGGTCGATACTTCTGCCATCTGTCGGGGAGCTTGTTGCTCACTAAGGGCAGAGAACTTACCGGGGAGGCCACACACATATCACAATCCTCTTTCACATTCGGCTTGCTAGTTCAGTTGCTTCTGTTTGCCGACGTCTGCGTTTGAAGACTTAGTAAACACAGTTATTTGCGATATCTTCTGGCTTAGGTGTCCGGGCATCTGCTGCACATAAGGACTCCGCGGCAGGAGGCAAAGACCAACTTGCATATGCCAGTGTCTTCGTCTTAGCTTTTTCTACTTTTAGTGCCTGCACATATATATTTATGCAATGCTCCGCGCTGAGCACCAGGACACCTCGCAGACGCTGATGCGCAGCCGAGCCTTGGTGGATGTATTATCAGCTGTTGCCAGACAAATATGAGCGTTATGGGAGGGAGACAGCCACGGGGAAGGAAATTTCCACGCGGCAAACAGATAAGCATATTTCTTTGATCTCTCCTATTTGTGCTTCTGTGGGGCAGTCACCTGTTGGTTGCCCTCTCGCGTCGCCGGTTCGCGAGATGGTGACCAAGGTTGACACGCAACTGTTGGCGGGCAACTGTGTTAGTGACTTAGGAAGGAGCTCAGTTAGCGTCTAAAGACTGCTTAACTCATTTATCTCACCCCCAGGAGCCACCACTACGCTGAAGGTCTTTGTGTGGAGCCAGATGCTCCATTCTTGCAGCACTTCGTCAGCCGTTTTATCGTAGTCCGCTCCCCGCCGCTATTTGTTGTTCTGCATGAAGGCCGTGGTAAAATTTGTTCTTCATACCTTGCAGCTGATATTACTAAAAAATGGGATATTTGCCGCCGGTCTGTACTGGCGCATCTGCGCGCAACGGGACACACGAATCCTGATAATTATTGCACAGCTTGCTGCAGTGTCAGTTGCCTCATCTAACTATAGCGTACTATGTATAACTTTCTTATTTAAACTGTTCTTTTGTTACAAAGATTCGCTCCTCACATATGGCGGGGTGCGACACCTGCCACCGACGCCGAAGGTCACCTCCAGTACTGGGCTGACCGATGGGCAGCCGCTACGGTGGAGGTTGGGTGTTGGCAATCAAACCAGCAATTCTAGGTTTAGTAGAATCTAAAAGGTGGAAGGGCATGTCCAATTGTGTTTGTTAAGTATATGTTTTGCCATATAATTGTCCTTTCTGGCCTAAATCTGTCTTACCGGGGGGAAAATGTGGCTGTTCACACCTCACGTCGGTTTCCTGGCAGCGTCTGTCCTTCTTCATGAAGTATCCCGTGGAAAAAGTAATAGTCAGTTTCACAGCAGTAAACAGAAGAAGGAATATCTTATTTCACCCTTGCGATGCTGCCTATGCATCCCAGTTAGCGTTCACTGCGGGCGGCAACGAGCAACCAAAGTTGACTCAGCAGAAGACAGCCGTATCTTCTCAGCTTGTTGAGCAGCGCCCGATCTGCAAATACCTGCTTACAAATTCCCTCGAATACCGTCCTCTGAGTGATGCTACTCATTGGGCTTCGTTGTGTTGTGCTTGGTTGATTGTGCTTGCTAGGTTGTCTAGGGTTAACAGCGCGAGATGATTCGAATATCCACGTGAACGCCCCATCTCCCTCATTGCTTCCTTCCCTGCTGAGCCCGGCCTCCCCCAATTCTTGGAGAAGAGGGCAAATAGTAGTTTCTGCCCCTTCTGCAAGTGACACAGGGGTGTTGTTCTCTTCATTCTCGCTGCTACCACATATCCAGGCGGCCGCCGCTGCCAGCTCCGACGACGAGGTAAAAAAAGAGGAAGAAGAGGAGCTGGGCGACGGATACTTGCCTTCTGCAGAGGAGGAACAGAATGAAGCTGCAGGTGTGCGTGCGCCGCATGCCCTGCGCGGAGACAACGACCCCCAACACCCGAGTACAAATAGGACAGAGGCAGATGCGTCCCCAGAACAAGAGACCACCGCCCCCACAGAGACAACGGAGTCTCATGATGTAGACGGCAATGATACAACTCAGTTGGCACTGCCCGCGGTTAAACCCAAACAGAGGGGCCGACCGGGGGAGAAATTCAGAGATGAATACAAGCCCTCAGACTTCACCGTCGATTCTGTGGACTTAAGCTTCCTCCTAGAAGAGACAGACACAAAGGTCAGTCACATCTGCGAGTTGCCTTGCATCGAGAATACCTACGACGTACGCTTTGTGGATGAGACTTTATGGCACAATAATTAGGTTTAGTGCTTGGGGTGTTTTAGGTGACAGCGACGATAGTTATGCAGCGAGCGGCGGGTACTCCGCCTACAGACTTGGTCTTAAATGGGGAGGACTTGGATCTTATTTCTTTGTCAGTGAACGGAAAGCAAATAAAAAATGTAGGCGCCACGAATGCGGCGGCTGAAGGCGAAGAAGGCTACCGACTCGCCCGCGACGGCAGCTTGATAATAAGTAAAGCTGTTCTTCCGCAGGAAGCAGGAAAACCTTTTACACTGCAGACAGAGGTGTTTAACCACCCAAAATCAAATCTCAAACTCAAAGGACTGTACGTTTCGGGGAAGGCGCTGGTGACGCAGTGTGAATCGGAAGGGTTCAGGAGGATAACATATTTCCTAGACAGACCCGACGTGCTTTCGAAGTACAAAGTAAGGGGGCGTTCTTTTAGCCTAGATCATTTCTGGATGCATACAACATAAACACGGACTGGAGATGCTCACGATTATATATATATATATATATATATATATATATATATATATATATATATAT